CGAGCCCGCTCTCTGCAGGGTTGGGTCTGCTATGTCACCTTTATCTGCAACATCTTTGACTACCTGAGGGTGAGGCCCCAGCAGCCACCTCATGCAGCAGGATGGCCTGTCTCCCACGGCCACTAAGCCGGTGCTCTGGCCCCTGCTCTCCCCCCACAGGTGAACAACATGCCCATGATGGCCCTGGTGAACCCCGTCTATGACTGCCTCTTCCGTCTGGCCCAGCCTGACAGTCTGAGCAAGGAGGAGGAGGTGGGTGGCCCTGGCACAGAAGGCTGTGGAAGTGGGCAGTCTTTGGCTCAGCTCAGAATGCCAGCACTGTCCATGGAGGCTTTCCAGGGCATCGCTTCCTGGGGCAGGAGCCTGGTGGGGGCATTTAAAGCCTGTCAGTTGCAGGACAAGTGGCAAGGTCTGGAATTTATCCAGAACAGAGAGCAGCCAAAAGCTACTGGCTCAGAGGCTTCCGTCCCAGCAGGAAAGCCAACCTATGAGAGGATACATCTGTGCATACAGAGGGTCTAGAAAACAAACCAGGCACAGAGTGTGGAGAAGGTAGAAAAGTAGGGTTAAGGGCCAGCCCTGGTGGCCTAGTGGTTAAGTTCACATGCTCTGCTTCAGCGGCCCAGATTCAGTTCCTGGGCGCAGACCTGCACCACTCGCCAGTGGCCATGCTGTGGCGGTAGCCCACATATAAAATAGAGGAAGATATGGCAACAGATGGTAGCTCAGGGTGAAATCTTCCTCAGCAAAAAAAAGTAGAGTAAAGCAGCACAGTTTGGAGACAGGGCCTGAGTCCAGCCTGGCCCAGATGAGAGACCTTAGGCAAGTCCCCAAACTTCTCTCATGTTAAGATGTGGATAATACCCCCTGGGTGGCATGAGGATGAAGTGGGGAAATGTGTGTACAGGGCCAAGCACAGTGACTGGCAAGCAGCAAGCGCTCAGTAAATGGCTGCTCTGTGTGATAGGCTGGCCCTGCCGGGGGTCACCTCCCACTGCCCCCTGCAGGTGGACTGCCTGGTGCTGCAGCTGCACCGGGTCGGGGAGCAGCTGGAGAAGATGAACAGGCAGCGCATGGATGAGCTCTTTGTCCTGATCCGGGATGGCTTCCTGCTCCCAACTGGCCTCAGCTCCCTGGCCCAGCTGCTGCTGTTGGAGATCATTGAGTTCCGGGCAGCTGGCTGGAAAACGACCCCAGCAGCCCACAAGTATTACTACAGTGAGGTCTCTGATTAGGCCTCCAGATCAGGCTTCCTCACCAGCAGCACTGGCCTTTCTTCTACCCACCTCCCAACCTGGAAGTGGAGTCTTTGCCTTTCCCAAAGACTTTTTCCCTTCCAGACTTTCAACAGCTCCCAAGATGTTTCCCACTTACACACTGGTCCTGCCCTGAGCACTTTCCTCTCCCCCATTCATGGATTAGGGAAGACACCAAACGGACCTGTCCCCACAGTCCCATCAGCCTCTCTCCCCCATCACCTTCCACCTAGGCAGAGAAGGGCAACTCCTAACAACCGGTGCACTGTGTAAACACTGGTGCAACAGCTAGTTCCGTGCCTCCATTTCCCATCTGTAAAATGGGTACCCATAGCCACTGGTGGGATGCACTGGGATGTCAAGGGGCAGAAGCAGAGCATACGTCACACCAGGAACTGCTTTTTATACATTTTGTACAAGGACTACTTTGAAAATAAGCATATTTCCTCCAGTTGGTTTCAATGAATGGCAGTACCACATCACATGCTATACTATTCAAGGTGAGACTTTTCTAATAAACCTTTTCTGATACTAAAACCGCTTCCTTTCCTAGCATCCAAAGGTCCACTCCACGCTGAGGGAAGAGATGGCTGGATGGGCCCTAAGTTTCCTGGGGGAAATCCAAGTTGATGTGTTCCTTCTTTGCAAGGAGACAGGGGAGGGAGAGCAAGTTCTAGCCCCAAAGAAAGAAGGACTAACAAGCAATAAACATGCTGCTCCATCCTTTCTGTGAGGCCTGCCTGCCCTAGAAAAGGAACTACAGCCTTAACCCACAGGTAATTTTCAACATGGCAGTCGCTCACATTGTTTCTTGCAGCCGAGTGCCCTGGGCTCCTCCTAGAGCCTCTACCCTCCCTCTACCACCAGCGGTAGTGGGCCAGGGCACGGTTGGCCTCAGCCATCTTGTGCATGTCGTGCTTCCTCTTGATCACAGGGCCCTGGTTGTGAAAAGCCTCCAGCAGCTCATGCGACAGCTTCTCTGGCATCAGCATCCGCCGGTGCTTCTTCTCCCTGCACTCAGTAATCATCCACTTCATGGCCAGGAAGCGACGACGCCGGTCGCCTAGTGGCACAGGGACCTGGGCAAGATAGGATGTGGGCACAGTGGTCCAAGAAGTTGCCAGCGCTGCAGTCTCCTTCCTCCCTGAGCTCTAAGGAGTAGCCACAGGTTCCCTCTGGGTCAGCCCTGGCAAGGCTCCTGAGGAGAGAGGCCTGTCTATTCCTCTCTGAGCTTCCTTCACCCCTGGGTGACTTCAGTGTAGCAGATATTAATGAGCAAATACTCATTTAGCACTGACCTCTTTCACTTCGAGGTGGAAGCTCAGCCAAGTTGATACAGGCACCAATTGGGAAAAACCCGTCAGCCGGGGTGATTTAGCTAACTCAGATAATGGGGGCCAAAAAACAAGACGCTCTTGTCCAAGAATCATTTGCTGGGCCCCCACTATGTGCCAGGTACCATGCTAGACCCTAGAGACACAGACATTAATAAAAAAGTCACTACTTTGATGAAGTTTACATTGAAAAAAGAGAAGACGAGAACATCCACTTATGACAATGAAGTATAACTAAATGGTATGATAGAGACGCCAAGTTCAGTTCAACAAATAGTGCTGAAGCATCAGTTACGGTTCAAGTGCTACACTTGACACTGGTGTATAAAGATGAGGTGTAAACGTAGTCCCTCACCATGAGAAGCTTACAGTTTAGAACGCAGGATGCTAGACAAAAGGGGGGTGGGGCAGGCTTCCAGAAGAGGTCATTTGGCTATTACTTTGCTTGCTTTCTTTTCCATCTTCTGCCTGTGGTTTTTATACTCGGGCTCAGAGGAGCAGATCCTGACAGCCCCTGGTCCCTAGAAAGCTATCAATCTTGGCCTAACTCTGGGCCCTCCTATCCCCAAGGACCCCCACATCTTGTTTCACATGTGGGCAGCCCTGCTTCCAGGCCCTGACCACTCACCTGGTAGAAATGGCCACCCCTGAGGATGGGTACCAGCCCAATCACAGGCTCACAGTTTTTCAGGGCTTGGTGGAAGATGGTATAGGGGTTGCGTTCAATGGTTGCCTGTTCCTCTGCAGAGGCAGCATGGTACTTCTCAAACTGCTTCCTTTTCACAGCTTCCAGAGTCTGCAAAGATATACAGTGAAAGAGGCTCCCCCAGGCTCCCTAAAGGGTTTACCTGGCTGAGCTAGTATCCTGCCCTCTACTTCCATCATCTCATTCTTCTATAGCTCTGCAGCTCCTCGCTCAGCACTTCTAAAACAAAGTTCTTAAGTGCCTCCCTTAAGTACCTTTCTTGGACTAGGACAGAAAGAGTGGGCTAAGATTTGTGATGTGGGGGTGGAATGGCAGTTGTTGACTCCCGCAGGACTTCATTAAAGCCTCCACCTCCACACATACATACAGTAAAGTTAATTTCAATGACAGGTATACGAATCCATTCTTTTTTATGCTAAACTGAAAGAGCCAAGTACCAAGCTATAGGGAAGAGAAAGATGACAGGTACCGTTTACCTGTGTCATGAGGGATCTGGCCAATACTTTGTTTCCTCCTTTCATCATCATGTTGGTGAATTTACTTCAAGAAGAAAAACAAAATGTTTAGCTTTCCAAGGCTGTATCACGGAATCCTTACTGTAGACCCTCCCCGGTATAGCCCTAGTCTGTGGAACAAGTGTTTGTTTCCATCTAACCTGATCACGGGGTCTTCAAACACAGAGCATGTTTTCGTCGCTGGGGCGGCTTTGATAAGCTGAGTCTTCCTGAGCTCCCGCTCATAGTTCTCCTCCTCAGTCAGCTCGGCCAAGGGCTTGCGGTAATACTCCTTGTCAATATGGGGGTCCTTGTATTCAGGACCATAGCGGCTCCACCTCACCTGGGTTAGCCTGGGAGGAGGAAGAGGCGGGCAAAAGCCGACTCCATCAGTGAAAAGGCTTGACTTCACAATAGGCGTGTCTGCCAACCCGCCCACGAGTGAGAGCGGCCCAGGGACTGCTAGCCAAACCTGAACCGCAATCAGTAATTCTGGCTCTTGTCCCAAGAGGTAGGAGGACCTCCCCCAAACAGGCGAGGAAAGTCTCCTCCTCGTCAAGCGCCAACGGTAAGGACAGGCTCCTGACCCTCAGGATAGGCGCCCCGCTTATGCGTCTCTCTCCGCATCTCCCAACAGAGAAAATCCCAGCTCTGAGCTCTTTCACGAGACCGCACTTGCAGCTCCGAGTTCGAATCCCCGCGGGCGGGGAGCAATCACTAAACCTTCAGACAGGTCCAAAGTCACGCAGCTAGTGTAAGAGGTTTGGACTGAGACATCCCGGCCCCATGCTCTCTCCAGCTCCCCGCACGGCTTGTCTGTGGCCTCTTTCCTTCCCCACAGGTATCCCCGTGAAGAGCCAAGCGGCCCCCCAGCTGCCCGCCGCCCTCTCACCCTGGAAGCCGCAGGACAGCGTTCCGCAACCCCAGCGCCAGGCCCGACCACGCTCTCGCAGCCTTCACCGCGGGGGCAGCCATCTTGGCTGGCCACGAGGACCCCACAAGGACTGCCCTCGGCGTGCCTGCGTGCCTGAGCGAGTGACGGAAGACAGGGAAAAGGCTCCACGGGATCCTAAATCTGTGCATCACCCATTTAATCTGGGCGTTAAGAGTCTCTCACTCCGAGGCCCAAAGGGAAGAGTAAAAAGAAACATTCGTCCCCCCCATTTTCCGTCGCAATCCGGCGCGACCCTCGGTGGCAGCGCTCGCTCCTCTCAGGCCCCCATGCAGGCTCCGCCCCGGCTCGTCTCTTGCAGGTTCTCGCGAGGTTTGAGGCGGCGGGGCCGGCCCGGGCGGCTGCAATATGGCGGAGGCGGAAGGGGAGAGTCTGGAGTCCTGGCTGAGTGAGTAGCCGCGGCCGCTTCTGCCTGCCCTCGAGCCGCCGAGCTGCCCCTCTCCTCACCCATAGGCCCCCTCCCTGGGCGCCTTGACGGCGCCGCCTTGCAGCCCGCTTCTGTGCTTCCCCCCGGCGCGAGCATTCCATGATCACGCCCCTTCCCCAGCAGGGCGCCCTGGCCCCCGCCCGGCCCCGCTCCTTGTCCTGCGGCGCGTCCGCCCGCTTCCGCGCGCCGCGGCGCGAGCTCGGGTCTTATCCGGGCCCCGCGGGCTCCGGGAAAGCGACAACCCAGTACTGCCGGCTGACATGCATCGGCGCTTTGGGGGAGATTGTGCTGAGGCCGCGCGCGGCTGTGCCTCCGGGACGCCTGCGCCTCAGTCCCTGACGAAGGGAAAAGCTCTGGATTTGGGCTGACGCTCCGGGAGCGGCGCTTGCCGCTGAGTGTACACACACAGCTTCAGAACTGTGGCCATGTATTCGAGAAGTGACTGCTTCGCGCAGGCAGAATGTTCGAAGTGAGAATAATCTAAAGAGAGAGAGAAAGAAAGAACAGAGCTCTGCCTTTTTCCTGCAGTGACCAAAGCACGGTGACACCTCTGTTGGGGACCCTCCTCCCCGCGCTCGGGCACACACACACGCACTGGAACATCTTAACGAGCCATTCGTCGGTAACCTACTCTGAGCAAAGCTGAGGAGCACAGCCTGACGCTGTGGTTATAGCGGCCTCTTGCTATAATTGCTAATTCATATTGCTATTAAGGGAAATATGGGTTAACCTTGTTAGGTAGTACTCTGCTGAAGGGTTAATCAGTTAACTTTCCCATGAGCTAGTGGAGGTCCCTGGAGGCCTCTTTAAGTGAAGACAGAATTGGACAGGGTAGTAAAACAGGTTGGATGCCTAGATATTGCCTCGCGCAGAGATCTCTTATTTACTAGAGCCTTCAGGCTCTTTGAGGTGATGGACGTTTAAAATCTTCCAATTGTCTGACCTTTCTTGGTTGAACTTTGGTTATATTTGCAAAATCTGCAGTTGCAGACAGGTCACAAAGCCTTCTGTATATATGGAACTGTTCTCCAAGGAGCTCAAAGTGTTCTAAAGACTTTCATTTAACTCATTTATCAAGAATCCTAGCGAAGTAGGTACTACTGTCACAATTTCACAAAAAGAGGATAGCCTGACTAATCAAACCACTTGCCCAGAGCCACTCAACTGGATGTAAGCACACTGGAATTGCTTCAATTCACAGATAGTAATGGAGACATCGGAGTAATTTACATGACCTCAACTAAATTTAATAGGCTAGTTTTAGACTTATATTTTGCTCTTTTTTTTTCTGCTGTTTCTCCCCAAATCTCCCCAGTACACAGTTGCATATTTTAGTAGTGAGTCCTAGTTGGGCATGTGGGACGCCGCCTCAGCATGGCCTGACGAGCAGTGCCATGTCTGCGCCCAGGATTCCAACCAGTGAAACCCTGGGCCACCAAAGCTGAGCACAAGAACTTCACCATTCGGCCACAGGCCAGCTTCTAGAGTTGTGTTCTGAAATAGAAGAGAGACAGACCTGTTTTTGAGGGCGAGTGGAGATGGCGAGGGGGGATGGAATGGTGTCTGTTTGCGACTAGAGCTGAGACCGGCCTTCGACTCTTTCCCATTGGAGTGACATATGGGGCAGTGTTAAGATTCCTTCCATTCTTGGGGCCGGCCCGTGGACAAGTGGTTAAGTTCGCGTGCTCCACCTCCGACCCTGGGCATGGACCTAGCGCCACTCATCAAGTCACGCTGAGGCACGTCCTACAAAGTAGAACCAGAAGGACCTACAACTAGAATACACAACTATGTACTGGGGGGCTTTGTGGAGAAGAAGAAGAAAATTAAAAAATAGAAGATTGGCAACAGATGTTAGCTCAGGTGCCAATCTTTAAAAAAAAAAAGATTCCTTCCATTCTGATCCTCTGTTCAGCTTCACAGTTCTTAAAACTTACTGGTGTGAACTGTACCAGTTGAATGGACCAGTGCTTGGGGTTCAGCACCATCTTAGTCTAGGTCCTTGTCACTCCCTGCTTTGCCAGAATTATTGCAGATGCCTCTGCCTGGCCCAGTGTCTCAAGTCTCTCCCCACCGCCCCTCAGTCCGTTCTGCATTCGGCTCCCAGCGGAGCGTTTCTGTTTAGTCATCCCACTGCTGCACACCTACTGCCGCCTCTTTGTGGCTTCCTGATACTCCTCCTTGCTTTGATCAGTTGGATGTTCTTGTCCCACCAACACACATTGCTCTCCTTATCTGGAATCCCTGTTCCCCTTTGCTCAACTAAATGTTTTAAAACACATCCCAGATTCTCCTCCCCTACGAACCATCTCTCAGTGACTTCAGCCTTCTCTCAAGTCCTGTCATTACCACAGTCAGTCAGTATTTAATGAATACCTGCTATGTGAGGTGTTCTGAAGATTAAGAAGTTCAAGCAGTCTTTGCCTTCAGTTTGATGAAACTGTTGCTGGAGTAGGTAAAACATTCCTAAATAAAAAGAGAAAGATACAAGGCAAGAGCCATAAATGCTAAAATACAATTTCTTCAGGAAATTGGGAATAGGTGGAGTGGAAGATGATTCTCTCAATGAGGAGACAGCATTCAAGCTAGGCCTTAAAGAATGGAGAAAATTGCCTGAGAAAACACCAGATGGTGATACAGAGGGAGCAAACCTGGCGTGGGGCACATGTGTTTGGCTGGTTCAAGCAGGGAGTTCCTGTAGGAGTGTAGTGAGAAAAAAAGCTGGGAAGTTAGAACCAAATTCTGGAAAGGCTTGAATTCCAGCCCAAGAAGGTTAAATTTCTACAGTTCTCGGGTCGCCATTCCTACTGAACCTGGTGGAATCAGTGTTTTAGGAGGATTGAAATGGGGGTATTATATAGGATGGATTGGAGCAGAAGTTCTGGAAGCAGGTGAGAAGTAAGGAGGTGGGCTGGGGGCAGGGATTAGAAAGGAAGGGAGAGATTTTAAAAGATTGAGAAGGAAGGGAGTACAGACTGATGGAAATAAGTGAAGAGACAAAGGAGTCAATGATGGGGGTTCAAATCTGGGTGCCTGGGGGTGGGGACAAAGGGAGCCGTTGAGTGGTGGCACCATTTATAGAAATAGGGAAGTCAGGAAAGAGAAGTGATGGATTTTGTTTTTAGATGCTTTTCTGTACCAGATTAGCACTTGTTAATTACACGCTGTCTTGGTTTTTGTTCTGGTTATTTCTCATGTGTTGCACCAGAAGAGCTTAACCTCCTCAAGGGTAGGATCTGAGTTTTGTCTGGTTTTTTGGGTCCCTCCAGGACCTAGCATGCCGTGCACTTAATTTTCTATGGGTGCTTAACAAACGCTTGCTGATTGACTAAGTCTCTCGATTCAAGAACCTAGCATCGAAGGTTGACTCTTTTTCAATCCTATGTCCTTTTTTTTTTTTTTTTTTTTTGAGGGAGATTAGCCCTGCGCTACCTGCTGCCAATCCTCCTCTTTTTGCTGGGGAAGACTGGCCCTGAGCTAACATCCATGCTCATCTTCCTCCACTTTATATGTGGGACGCCTACCACAGCATGGCTTGCCAAGTGGTGCCATGTCTGCAGCCGGTATCCGAACCGGTGAACCCCGGGCCGCTGAAGCAGAACGTGCGAACTTAACTGCTGCGCCACCTGGGCGGGCCCCCTATATTCTTGCCTCTGCTTATTTCTAAGTCATTTGCTACATTGAACTTGCAGTCTCTGGGATGTCTGACCCATGTTGGGATGGGATAATCATTGCTGCTATTTCCATTCCTACTTGACCTTTTGAGGTCCCACAATAGTCAAGGCTAGAGATGGAATTAAGCTGAAAGTGAGAGCAGGAGATCTAGAGGCACAGACGCAAAAGAGAATGAGGCTTTCAGCAGGGACCCGAAAATAGAAACCTTGAGTCAGAGTAGAGCCCAGGGGGCAGTTCTAGAAGGCAGGGTCTGCAGGGAGGCTCTCCCGTCACCCTTGTGCCAGGTGAGAAGAATGTCGAGTGGGTGGAACATTGTGTGCATCTGCTGGAGGAGGCAGTAGGCAGATGGAGAGATCAACTCACCCAGAATTATCCCCAGAGGTTTCTTTTAGTTCTTGTGGGTGATCAAGGTCTGCTTTCTGAGTCAGCTGGAGAGCTGGAGGAGATGCTCAGAGTGGGACCCACCATTGCTGAAACCAGGGCTTTTTGTGCCCATGTGTAGGCACAGGGCTCTCGGCAGATTTGTAGTAGAAAGTCTATTAAGGTGAAAGGATGTGGGATTCTAGAGAAGTTGAACACAAGTGAAAAGTAAGTGGGAGTATTCTTGGAAGTAGAGATGCTATAGGTATTATAGCAGGCCCAGGAGGAATACGTTGTTTGGTGAATGCCCATTGCTTATGTACGAGTCGGGAAAGGAAGGGGTCCACGTTGTCCTCTCTATTTGTAAGATGCTCTTCCAGTTGTGAACAGTAGAAGTGAGTGGACTGCTTTTTCTTATACCATGAGGTGTGTGATTCTTCTCAAAATGATAATGATGAGAATGGGTATGGCTCCTCAGAACATCTTATTTTTGTATCCTATAGCCTCTTGAAGTCATGTGAGAACTTTAAGCATCTCAAATGATAGGAATTAGTAACAAAGCCATGGTAACACCTGAGAAGATTTCAGACAACTGGTGGGAGACACTTGGTGCCCCTCTGGAAGGTGACAGCTAGTAGGTCACTGTGGTAATAAATCGCCACTCTTTTGTGTGAGGAAGATTGGCCCTGAGCTAACATCTGTTGCCAATCTTCCTCTCTTTGCTTGAGGAAGATTATCGCTGAGCTAACATCTGTGCCAGTCGTCCTCTGTTTTGTGTGGGATGCCTCCACAGTGTGGTTTGACAAGCAGTGCTAGATCCATGCCTGGGATCTGAACCTGCGAACCCGGGGCTGCTGAAGCGGAGCACACAAACTTAACCACTATGCCACCGGGCTGGCCCTCTATAAGTAGCCACTCTTGATAGAATTAATCTTCCTTCCCTTCAATCTTGACATTTTTAAGGGCCTGCTAATTCTCTTTTCAAGACTGAGGATGGACATCTCTCCTTTCTTCCAAATGCGAACCTAAACCATCAGAATCTTCTTGCAGCCAGAGCAGAAACACTGCCAGGCAGGCGCAGGGTCTCCTTGAGTTCTGCATGCCTTCCCTCTGCCTTGGGGTGGCATCTGCTGACCTCTTGTGCCTCAGAGCCCAGTTGGGGCTGTTGGTTTGGGAGTCCCTGTTAGGATTTGATTGTGGAGCTAGTGATTTTTAATGTTAGGAAAAAAGGAAGTTAAGAAAACACAGGCATGAGAAATCAGAATTCAGGAACTTCTAATAGCACCCCTTGTTGGGAGGGGGGTTTTCAAGGCTCTGTCACCCTGCTTTTGGACCTCATGGGAATCTGCAGGAGGAGCGTGGGTGTTTAAAAAGGATATACGCCTTCAGCTTTCCATTTGTCTTCTGAACCTGAAGCCCTAAATTTAGCAAACAGCTTGAGAATGCTTTCTGGAAGAGACAGACTCCAAGATCTGAATCAGATGGGAACACAGTCAAACCCCCTCAGCAGGGGCCATCCTCTGTCAGCACGAGTTCTGAGGGCAACAGAGAAAAGAGGACCCACGCCAAGTATTAGGAGACCTGGCAGCTGGATTTTAAACCCTCAGTGACCTCTGAGACCTCTCCAACAGACAGCACAAAGATTGGTACTTAGCGGGGGTTCCCTCAGTGTTGTTAGCTTCACTTAACGTGATGAGCATTGTGTGCAATTAAAAAAAACATTTAAAGCGTTAAGGAAGGGTGTGTAGGAAATATGCATGTTTTGTAAGTATGTATATTTTATCAAGTATCACCTGCCTTCAATTTCTCCAGGAAACACTGCTTGATCATCCCTACTTGCTTAACACTTACCTTATTTTTATATAGCTGCAGTTATCTATATTTATTTCTTATACTAAACCTTTTATATAGGTATATCTGTTTGGATATTTTAGTTATTTGTGTTTGTGCTGTCAATCCTGATCTACTTTAAGCTCTCTGAGGCTGGGGATTTGTTTTCTGTTTTGTTTGTAACTTTCAAAATACTGGACAGAAAGTGTAGTATTTGTATTTGACTTGCTGCCTGCCTGAACTATTGAGGCTTCTCTATTAGAGAAGAAATTTGGAAACGAGCTTACCTTCACATCAGTGCCGAAAAATTGTCAAGAAAACCTTCCATTGTGTCTTCCTTGCTCTTTATAATTGTCTTTTTCTTTGTTCTGTCCCAAGATAAAGCCACCAATCCTTCCAACCGCCAGGAGGACTGGGAATACATAATTGGCTTCTGTGATCAGATCAACAAAGAGCTTGAAGGGTGAGTCCCAAAGCTATTAGCGGGCAGGTGAGAGATAGCTGACTGGAAAAGTCGAAAACTGTGGCCAAGGAGGGCTAGCCAGATGGCCCCAGGGTCAGTGTCCTGAAAGTGTGGTCTGCTTATCTCCCAGGCCACAGATCGCTGTCCGACTGCTGGCCCATAAGATCCAGTCTCCGCAGGAATGGGAGGCAGTCCAGGCCCTGACGGTAGGTCTTTCATTCTGACAGTGGATCTTCATGAACCCAGGCCTTTCCTCATGCCCACACTGAGTTCCCTGAGCTTCTCAGGGCTCACACCCTAAGCCAGCTGAAAGTCCTTGAAACAAACAAGATATACTTGGAACATGTTCAGACAAATGTTCCACAACTGTGTGTACCCTTGTGCCAGGCCCTGATACTTCAAAGACGGCTGAAGTGCAGTCCCTGCCAGCATGGCGAGTCTAACGCGTTCTGTAGCTAAAAATAATGCCGGTTCCTGGTGAAGGCATCACACCTACAGGCGGATCTTAGTGTTTATTCAGATTAAGAGGATTCAAGACGTGGAGCCTTGTGTAGCGCTTAGGCACCTCCAGGCTCTCCCCTAAACCAGAGCACCTGCCAAGGTCAGGCTTACCAGGTTTCTCCCCTGGCTTTACTGGGGTCCTGGAAAGATGGAAGAGAGGAAATAATCATGGAAAAGGCACGTAGGTGACCCACCTGTGTGCCTCTGTCCTCTTCATCGTAGAGCAAAGGTCTTGAAACAGTGGTTCTCAACTGGGGGCGGTTTTGCCCCCCAGGGGACGTTTGGCAATGTCTGGAGACACTTGGTCATCACACATCAGAGAGTACAACTGGCATCTAGTGGGTAGAGGCCAGAGGTATTGCTAAACATCCTATAATGCACAGGACAGGCTTCCACAACAAAGAATAACTGGCCCAAAATGTCAGTAGTGGCGCAGTTGAAAACCCTGCTTTAGAAAGACAGAAGCCGAGAGGGAGCACTGGGGTGGTATGCTCCTTGGCATGAACTGCGGGCGCCAGGGGCCACAGGCAGCACAGGAGAACTTAACGTGGTTTTACGGGCCCCAGAAGGAAGACAGGTGGGAGCAGGGAGAGGGAAAAGATCATGTCGTCTATAATGAAGAAAACAGACTTTAAATTTTATCTCCCACCTCCCCAAGATGCTGATCAGCTTGTGGAAAGAACCCTCGACCCTGAGTCAGAGAAACTTTATATCTCTGGGTCTCAGTTTCCTCACCTGTAAAATACAAGGGCAGAATCTTGTAGCAAGGCACCTTCCAGGACTGACCTTGCATCTGTCTTGGTATCTGGGTCTCAGTGTTTCTTACTTTAGTTTCTGCTGAGCTTCTCCAGAAGAGGTTTGCAATTTGAGGGACACAGTAGTTAGTGATCCTGTTGCCCTGGTGTTCCCTGGGGCACTGCACACGACTTCTGATCTGTTCTTCCTTGGGTGAATAATTTGTTCAGCCGTATCTATGCAGGTGTCCAGCTGAGTGCCAGGTCCCACCCAGAGCCCCTGACACTGAGCGCCTCTCCTTTGTGTGGCTACAGGTGCTGGAGGCGTGTATGAAGAACTGTGGGAGGAGGTTTCATAATGAAGTGGGAAAGTTCCGGTTTTTGAATGAGTTAATCAAAGTCGTCTCTCCAAAGGTCAGTCACTGGCAGTCTCCTCATTTCTAGGAACTTTCGTGTTCCTTCCCCTCTCCCATCTTACTGGCTTTCACTGCACAACCAGCATTTCCACGGATCTGAGTTTCTCTGCGTCCTGTCCTTAGAGAGCTAGGTCCTGAGGGTAGCAGGATGACCATCCAGGCCGCAGGGACAGGCAGCCCTCTCTGACAGGCCCCCAGCCTAAATGTGGCAGGTGATGCAGCAGCAGCTGTATGTGTGTCCAGGGGGACATGCCTGTGTAGTGTGGACTTCTGGGCTCCTAGTGACAGCAGTCACTTTTCTTTGGCCTGTCTCATGTGGATACAAGGAGTTGGCCTCCCTCCTTACTCAGCTTCTCAGCTTCTATTGCCGTGCTTAAACTCTGGGCACCCACCTAAAGCAGAGGGAACAATTTTTCATACTAAAGACATTCTCGTTAACTCTTTCAAGGTAAAATGCAGTTGTGTTTCTGACAGACTGTGCATGGCAATGCAGCTCTCAGCCTCCTGCCTACCCTCAGACTGTGTCCCAGTTGGGTACAGCTATGCCACATGCAGTCGTCATCATGGTGTGTCCCCCCACCCCCGTCCTCTCCCAGTGCATCCCACACACATCTAACACCTGATGGTCTGGAGTAAGCTTGAGGACTGTAGCTAATTAGTGACCACTTCATTGCTATGAAGAGAGCCTTCCTACTGTCTCTGCCTCCAGAATGCAGTTACTAGGTTTTCCTTTTGCCTCTTAGTACCTGGGGGACAGGGTGTCTGAGAAAGTGAAGACCAAGGTTATCGAGCTCCTTTACAGCTGGACCTTGGCTCTGCCAGAAGAATCAAAGATCAAGGATGCCTACCACATGTTGAAGAGACAGGGTATGTGCTACCTTCTCTCAGCCTCAAAGCAGCGCCAAGGGTGGCCAAGGCCAGGAAGAACGAGGGGGGTGTCTGCTGTCTCCGGGCTACCTCCCTTCCTCCTTCTCAAAGACAATGGGAAGGGCTTGGCTGGGGTTTGATGGCTTGAGGTGTGCGCAGCCTGCTGTCCCTGCCCTGCCTTTGCAGGTCCTCATCACAGGGATGTGCCCCCTTGCTGGGCACTGTGTGAGGAAGGGCAACAAGATGACCTCAGCCTGAGCAAATGCTCTCTCCCTTGTGTCCCCTTTCAGGCATAGTGCAGTCTGACCCACTCATCCCTGTGGACAGGACACTGATCCCTTCTCCACCACCTCGTCCCAAAAACCCTGTTTTTGATGATGAGGAGAAATCCAAGGTAAAGCGCATCCCTGCCTGCGGTGTCCTCAGATGAGGTGTGGGCTCGCTCAGAGCTACAGGGAGTTCCAGTCTCTGTGGTCTCCATGGCTGGGGTACTGCCTTTCCCTTCACTGTTGATACCCTCCTCTTCCAGCTTTTAGCCAAGTTGTTGAAAAGCAAAAACCCAGATGACCTGCAAGAGGCCAACAAGCTCATCAAGTCCATGGTGAAAGAAGTGAGTGGGCCCTGGGCCTTGGGGTGTGGGGTGGAGGAGCCTGTGACCACAGAGCAGAGGTCCCTTCTCCCGCGTCAGGCCTGTTGTTAGCCCCCACCGCCACGCCTGGAGATGCTAGAGAATGGAAGGAGAAGCGTTGGAGCTTCTGAGGAAGAATGGAACAGAGGAGCAAGAGTAGATGGGGCCAGGTTTGGGTGTGGGGGGGCTGCTATTTTAGAAGAAAAACTGTGGATTGAGTCTGAGGCTTGTGGTTCCCAAGAACCATGCATTGAAAGGAGCTTCCTTTAAATGGAAGGAAGCATCTACTCATGTTCTCTAGTAAAGTGTGATCCTTGCCTTGCAGGATTCTAAGGAGTCAGTGGGACGAGTCTTGTTGAGCTCTTTCTCCTTGATCCTCTTTGATGCAGGATGAGGCGCGAATCCAGAAGGTAACCAAGCGTCTACACACTTTAGAGGAAGTTAATAACAATGTAAAGCTGCTCAATGAGATGCTGCTTCATTACAGCAAAGAGGATTCTTCAGAAGCAGATAAGGAGCTCATGAAGGTAGGCCCACCTCTAGGAGGGGAGCTGGGCTCCAGGAAGGGGAGCCAGCCTTTGCCAAGTCCCCGCCCTAAGACACTGCCACCCACCTGGTTCCTTAACTTATTAATCAGCATAGCAGCCAGGTAGAGAGGGGGTGGCACCCTCATTTTACACATGAGCTATGGCTACCTCACCCGGGGCGTAAGAGCTGCGTGGACACCCAAGTCTGTGTGACTCTGCAGACCCACCCTCGGGCTCGCTCCTGCTCTGTGCCTTGCCTTCTGCCTCGGGGACATTGGGCAGAGAGGTTCACTGTGTGCACCTGATACTGCACTCAGTCCTCGGTCACATAGATACTCTGAATTCTAAGCACGTGCCAGCCTGGGAGGCAGAAAGGGATGTACTTTCCCTCATCTTTCTTGGTAACTTATCTGCCTAGGCAGACATCTTGGGTGACACAGTGTGGTGGAGGCTGGCAACAGGAAGACATGTACTCTGAGCCCAGCTCTGCCAGTAATTGTGGAATCATAGGAGAGCCCTGTGATTTTCTGGGCATGGATGGTGAATTAGATGATCTCCAAGGGCCTTTGTCGCTCTGATGTTCATGTCTGAGTCTCTTTCAGGAGCTGTTTGATCGGTGTGAGAACAAGAGGCGGACGTTATTCAAACTAGCCAGTGAGACAGAGGACAATGACAATAGTTTGGGTGAGGGAAAAGTAAAGAGTAGTTGACAAAGGTGTGATCGGGGGAGTTGTCATGGCCAGGAGTGAGAAGTCTCCTTTCTGCTCTAGGGGACATCCTGCAGGCCAGTGACAACCTCTCCCGGGTCATCAACTCTTATAAAACAATCGTTGAAGGGCAGGTCATCAATGGTGAGGTGGCTACGTCAGCCTTGCCTGACTCTGAAGGTAAAATGTTCCAGTTCCCCATTCTGAATCCTTCCAGACCAGCCCCAGTCCCCATCACCAAGCCATGGGTGCACGTTGACCAGTGTGTCATCCCTCAGGGCCCGAGGACTCTAAGCCATTCCAAGCAGTCTTTCAGCTTCCCAGAGGCCTGCAGATGCGGATGGGGTTTTTCTGCTTGTTTTTCAGTGTTCCCCTGGCACAAATGCCCTTGGATTAGGTCAGAGGCTGTGCAGCCAGCCCCTAGAGTAGCCCCTAATTATTCCTGTCCCCATCCAGGAAACAACCACTCCAGTAACCAAGGCACTCTCATTGACCTTGCTGAGTTGGAGGCACCAAGCAGCTCGTCCCCAGTGTTGGCGCCTGCGCCCCCCTCCTCTGGCATCCCTATCCTCCCTCCACCCCCACAGACCTCGGGACCTGGGCGCAGCCACTCCTCCAGCCAGGGTGAGGCCCCCCCCGGGCCCAACAGCACAAGCAGTGCCCTCTGTCTGCTGGATGAGGAGCTGCTCTGCTTGGGTACGTCCCAGAGGGAGGCCTTACAGGGTTCCTGGTGGGGCCGGTAGAGAAAGGCATGTGGAATCGGGCGGAGGGCCGAGACGTGGAGAGTCAAACTCAGTGTCCCTCAGGCTGCCAGGGGAGTCTGCACACAGACTCCAGGTGGACACGGTGGACCAAGTGTCTTGCTCTGCTGCCCTCTCCTCTGGAGGGCCTCCCTCTGAATCTAAGGACTGAAGAGGATCCATTCCCCTCTGGAGCTGCCTGGGAACACCTTCTCCCCACTCCGTCACCCCTTGATGCCACTTCTGTCATGTGACCCTTCCTCAGGCGAGGTGGGGCTGGGGCTGCCCCAGCCCAGAGCCTCTTCTCATCGTGGTCATCTTCTCTGTTGTCAGGCCTCACTGACCCAGCCCCCAGTGCTCCGCCCAGAGAGTCAGCTGGAAACAGCCAGTGGCCCCTGTTCCAGGTACGGGCACAGGTGACACCACTGAAGTGCTCGACAGCCTTCATATAATAATCCTCCTCTTTCCAGCTAGTCCTCAGCTGCAGTTAGCTAGAGCCCACAGTCCTAACCCTGGGGCCCTGCCCTGGGTGGGGCTGGGAACAGGGATCACATCCCAGGGCTTTCTCTGGCCCTCCTCAGAGGGCTGTTAGTCCACTGGGGTTGCGTTAGGGCCCCCAGCCTAGGGGGACAAGGGGTGGAGAGCTAAAACCCTTTGCTGCCTGCACCAGACCCTCCGCAGCCTTTGCTCACTCATGCTTTCCATTCCCAATAGAATGAACAGTCGGACCTGGACTTCTTTGGCCCCAAACCTGGGACTGCTGCCTGTAGCCCCTCAGACGGGCCTCTCCTCCAGCCCTCAGCAGCCCCTGCAGGCAACTCCCAGGCTCCACTGCCACCCTCCTTCCCAGCTCCTGTGGTCCCAGCCAGTGTTCCTGCCCCCAAAGCCGGCTCCTTCTTCTTCCCTACTGGCTTGGCCCCAGCTTCGGCCCCAAAGGCTGAGGCCACAGTGCCCGGGCACCATGCCTCAGCTTTGGGCGATAGCACCCTGCACCAGCTGGATGCCCTCGATCAGCTTCTGGAAGAGGCCAAAGTGTAATGAGTGGGAGAGAGGTGGGGTTAGGGTGGGTCTGGGTTGGGCTCGGGCCCATGCAGAACCAGAGGCAGCTCCAGAGGGGTTGGGGACGTTCCTTCTTTTTTTATGATTTTATTTATTTTTTAAAATTTTTCCTTCTTCTCCCCAAAGCCCCCCGGTACATAGTGGTATATTTTGGTTGTGGGTCCTTCTGGTTGTGGCATGTGGTACGCTGTCTCAGCATGGCTTGATGAGCAGTGCTAGGTCCACACCCAGGATCCAAACTGGTGAAACCCTGGGCTGCCAAAGCAGAGCACGTGAACTTAACCACTGGGCCCCCATGTTCCCTTTTGATCTGATCTGTCAGGCTGGAATTTAGAAGCTAGGGAGTGCGTAAGAGCCAGCTCTGGCCTGGGGGGCCTTTGCGAAGGGTTGACCCAGCAGCCCTGTCTGGTCTCTGACTTGCCTTGTATTCCTTTCCTGCCTCCAAGGACCTCAGGCCTGGCGAAACCCATCTCCTCCAACTTCTTCCCTGGGGCTGCCACCTCCTCTCTTATCTCCACCACCACCCCAGCTAGGCCTCTCCTCCCCTTCTCCACGGGGCCTGGCAGCCCTCTCTTCCAGCCACCTGCCTTCCAGTCCCAGGGCAGCCCCATGAAGGGGCCTGAGCTCTCCTTGGCCAATGTGCACGTCCCCCTGGAATCTATCAAGCCTAGTAGGTGTTGGAGGCTTGGGGTGGGAGGAGAGGTGGGGCCCACAGCTTGCAGCATTGTGGGGAGTGTGAGAAGGGTGGGTGGTTACAGGCTTTTCTTGCCTGGGTCCCTAGAGCCAAAGGTGACCTACTTTCCTGCTGTCTCAGCCTCTGCTTTTTGCCAGTGCACTCTGGGGAGGTTCTGACAGACTCCTGCAGGGAGCCTCATCACCACAGGGTCGCCCTGCTCTCCCTTGGCTGTGGCAGACACCCCCAGCACTCATGTGGGTATCTCTCCTTCCACACCCACATGCCGCCTTCTTACAGGCAGTGCCCTTCCTGTGACAGCCTATGATAAAAACGGCTTCCGCATCCTCTTCCACTTTGCCAAGGAGTGTCCACCAGGACGGCCCGACGTGCTGGTGGTGGTAGTGTCCATGCTGAATACAGCTCCCTTGCCTATCAAGAGCATCGTGCTGCAGGCCGCAGTGCCCAAGGTATCCCGGGCTTCTAGAGGCAGAAATTACCTTTATCTTGAACCCACTGTGTCGAGGGCCTCTGTGGCCAGCAGGTGGTAGTATGTCTGTCCACTGTGACTATCCTGGGTTCCATCTTAGGCGGGTACCTGCCATCTCTCTTCAGAGGAGCTTCTCTCTTTGTCTTTAGTCAATGAAGGTGAAGTTGCAGCCACCGTCTGGGACAGAACTCTCTCCATTTAGCCCCATCCAGCCACCTGCAGCCATCACCCAGGTCATGTTGCTGGCCAATCCACTGAAGGTGAGCTAGAACCGGGGGTCCAGCCTGAAGCCCTGGTTGCCCCAGTATTAGGACCTCGAGACGAGCCTGAAGCCACCTCCCAACCTGAAGTGTCATGATACTGCAGCGTTAACCCACGTCCCTTCCCTATCTTGGTTCAGGGGCTGAGCGAGAATGGGGTGGTGGGAGCAGGGCCTATTCCTTAGCACAGAAAGGGCCCCAAGGGTAGCGGAGAAGAGGACATCTCACACACTGTCCCTCTGTCACAGGAGAAAGCAAGGCTTCGGTATAGGCTGACCTTCGCCCTGGGGGAGCAGCTGAGCACGGAGGTGGGTGAGGTGGACCAGTTCCCGCCTGTGGAGCAGTGGGGGAACCTATGACCGCAGAGGATGCTGTCATCTCCACTTCGACACCCTCGCAGGCTGCCCTGAGACGGGAGGGCTCTCCGGGTCCAGACTTTCTCCGTGTCCCAACTGCAGTGCTTAGAGCTTTGATATGGAACAGGGGTCCTGGGCATTGCTGCTGGGAGCCGAGCTGCTGCTGCGATGATCTCTCCTCCTTTGGCCCCCTAAAAGGACCTGTTTTTATCTAACTGTGTGACTTGAAGTCGCCACGTACTTTCGGGTGGGGAGTGGCCCCAGATTCTTCTGCACTACTGCCCTGGGAACGTGGACTGGAGACTGGAGTAGGTTTTTCCCCTTGTTCTGGCATCCCCTGATGCCACAAGAGGGAGGTCTCTAAAGAGAGACTCGGGGCCCTCCCTTAAGGACCACATCCTCACCCCTCAGAGGCCTCAGCCCCCCAGTGCTACTCTGTGCTTCCCCTGCTGGCAGGCTCCTGCTCCCACCTCCAGGGAGGTGGGCAAAGCGCAGCGGTCCCAAATGGCCCTGGGCACAGAGTAAGGAGTTGGTGTGCTGCTCACTCTCCAGCCCTGCCTTCCGTGGACAGCGTCATCCTGGAATGGCCAATGGATGATGAGTTGTGGGCTTGTCCCTGGTGGTAGCAGGCTGTGTCCTATGGACATCTCAGCATAGGATGTGGAACTCAGCCTTTTAGAAACAGAACTTGGCCTCATGGCAGCCTAAACTAGGGATAGGAAAGAAAACAGAAGAGAACCAGTGTTTCCCCTTTTTTGGAAGCAGGTACTCAGAGCTTTCTGGGAAAAGTGTGCCTCCTGCCGTGGGAATAGGCCATCCTACTCACTACCTCTTGCTTGGCATGAAATAAACTGCTCTCCTGCCCTTCACATCTCTGAAGGGGAGGACAACTCCCACCACCTTCCATGTCCTCCTGCTTTGGCCTCCCCCCCTCCTCCCACCAGATGGCCTGTGTTGTGGCATAAGGTCGGGAACAGGGGCAGGGTCAGGCATATTGCACTAGACTTATGTCCTTACCTGCTGCCCAGAAACCCTGCCTGTCCCCAGCTGCTGATGGGCACTGTCAGCGAGATGTTGGGTCTGGAGGTGGTGAGATTAGGGACCATGCTTGAATCGAGTCACCAGACCCTATTGCTTCCACAGTGCTCAGCCCCAGCTGGCTTGTCCCGGCTGCTCCATCCACTAGATGCAACTGGGCCAAGGACTCCAGGCCTCCCAGGGCCACAGCAAAGTGAGAACACTCAGCAGGGGAAAGAGCACACAGCTCACCTGAGCTCGGGGACGGGCTCAGCCCTCTCCAGGGAAAGGTGGCACAAACCGTGTTCCCTGATCCCTCACTACTTGTGCCAGGCTTCCTTACTCCATCAAGAGGTCATCTCCCCTTGTCCCATCTTTAGCAAGCAGGTTTCACTGCTTCATCAGGACAGGTCAAAAGTGAATTGATTTCACTACTTAAGGAATAAATCCAAGCATTTTCCAGAGACCGGCTGCCGCGGCCCTGGAAAGGTCCGTGGGATTACTGTATGGAAATGCACCTTTATAATAAGCTTTAGACATGAAAATTATTTATGAGTGTTATTCATTACTATGGAGTCACTGCTTTGTGACAAATAGCTGTACTGGATATACCAACTCTGCTGCCCTTGTTTTGCTGCATGTTAAATAAAACCATTTTTGCCCTACTTGGAATCCTAATATAGACAGCATTCACCCCAGTTGGGGGAAGGTGCCACTCAGGAAATTCCAAATGTAGGTGAGTGGATGTGCTGGTATCCCCTGAGGTTTTTGTTAAAAGTATAGGTTCCTGGGGGCCGGCCCCCTGGCGTAGTGGTTAAGTTTGGTGCGATGTGCTTTGGCAGCCGAGGTTTGTATCACAGGCACAGACCTACACCACTCATCAGCCACGCCGTGGTGGCAACCCACATACAAAGAGGAAGATTGGCATGGGTGTTAGTTCAGGGCTAACCTTCCTTAAGCAAAAGAAAAAAAGGAAGATTGGCAGCAGATGTTAGCTCAGGGCGAAACTTCCTCAGCAAGAAAACAAAAAAGATAGGTTCCCGGACCTCTTTCTTGTTTAAAGGAGGTGACCAGAAAGTTAACAGATGAGCCTTCCAGATGATTCTGAGGTGAGGCCAGATTTCAGAAGCACAAGTAAACCACTGCAGGCTCCTGTTGAAGTTTCTAATTATAGGCAGGAGAGCACTGCACTCACCATTCATAACGTCTGGGGTGGCTTTTTTCCTAAGGAGACAGGGAAGTCGGTTCCATGTCGAAGAACATAAGCATTTTCTTAATTTTTGTCACCTCAGCTTCACAGTGCAGTTAGATACAAAACCCCCAGCTGGACTCTGTAAGAACTTGCCTGATTTTTGTAAAAGAAAACATTTATTCTTCTAAAAATTTATATACATTGCCATAGATATCATTCATGTTGCCGCAGCTCTCGGCTGGCCTCAGGAACCTTCCAATGAGCCTTCTTTTATAATTGCCCGAGCAAGATTTCGTGCAAGAGCAAGTCTCAGCATTTCCACCTTGGTGGTCTCTATGTCATCATCCTAAAAGCAAAGAGAGCCAGCATGAGCCCAGCAAGTGTTTCTTCTTTAAAGCTCCCAAAGGCTCTAGCTAATCCAAAGGTAGGTAGGTAGAGGGCATTTAATATTCAGTAGTAGCTTCTAGCAAGTTCTCAATATGAGCGCTACATGCAAAGGACCAGTGCAACTGATTGACAGGAAAAAAAAAAAATAGAGACCAGAACACTAAAATCACCCCCTTTTCTCCTAAAAGAAGTTGGTGTGTCACAGTTACAGGTTAAGAGGTAACTTGAGAGGCCCATGAGTTTGTAAGGGGCCAGTGTTTGTGTAGGGAGGTGGGGGGAGCTGGAGATGATGGAGCCTTTCTCATCTCCATTGTGGAACCAACAAGAGGAAAACTAAAATGACCTGGAGTCGCTGGGCATCCGGCTCTCCATGCACTGGCCTTCCTGAGGTCAAGTCCTCCAGACATCTCATCAGCTCGTATGTTTGCTCTGCTGAAAAAATCACCTAGGAGAGAGAGGCTGCTTTGCTTAGTTGCTCCCCAGCCAAGGCCTGCACAGGTTTGGGTGTGGGCCCAAATGCAGAGACAGCCTTCCTTGCAAGCCCTTTGGAGGAGTGTGCTTTGTACACGCAGCCCTGCGAGGGCAGAGCACCCCTATTCTCACTCCCAGCCCTTCTTCTCAGGGCCTTGGGCTGAGTATGGTCAATAGACAGCTGCCTCATTTCAAATTAAGAAGTTTTTCTTGTGTGGATATTGGATTTCCAGAGTGGGTGCTATGGGGGATTATGCACATACAGAAACCTATTTGGGAGAAGATATGGAGGGCCAGCTGTATGCATCTGCAGCAGCTACGGAATCAAGCACTGTCAAGGACTGCAAAACACAGAGAAGAAAATCACTGGATTCAACCTGTACCTGTTTCTGCTCCAAAAGGGGCAAGGCATCTGTTAGTAGTGTCATCCAGAAAGACCGTGGGGCAATCTGAGAAGTCATCAATGACAGGAGAAGAGAAGCAGCATCAACAAAACGCTTCTCCCCATACAATCGGTGGAACTCGCGGTACTTGCCTATTGAGAAAAGAGAGCACTAGGTCACCCCTGGCCCTACACATGAGAAGAGAGACTCCAGACCAGCCGTTCCACAGAGCAGGGGATCCTTTCAGAGCTGTCTCCAAGTTCATGGACCAATGAGACCAAAAGGATTCAAAACACATGCTTTGAAGGGGCTCCAAAGAGCCAAACCTGGGAGAATGTAAGCATCAAAATAAACAAGAGCCACAGATTATAACACCTTGAGACAAATAACCCAGGAGTCTATTACTGATGTAAATGAAAGAATGGATGGGGCCAAGGGCAAGTCTTCTGTACGGTGGAATGCTAACTAAAACACAAGGAATGAGAGAGTCAGAAAATCACCAATAGTTACTAAAACTAGTGGGTGCAAAGTGTGATGAGGAACAAGACATTTAAATAATCCCAAAGCATCTCCACAAATTATTAAATCAAAAAGAAAGTCAGTGTGCACAGAGGAGACACCTGGTGGATGCCACTTTAACCAAGTGATCAGAACAAACTCCACCAATAAGAGGACAGGCAGCCTCAAGGACACATCGCCTCAGCAGCATTCCTGCCCCAAACACAATCTGAATCTGATAACGAGGAAAGGTCAGATAAACTCAACCTGAGGACATGCTACAAGAGAACTGAACTGACTTCAAAAAAGTCAAGGTTAAGAAGCACCAAGAAAGGCAGAGGCACTAAAGAAACATGGTAACTAAACTCATGAAGCTGGACTCAATAAGGGACATCAGTGGGACAACTGATGGAATCAGAACATGGATTGTAGATGAGAGTATTGTAACAATGTTGAATCTCCTGATTTTGATAACTGTGATTATGTAACAGGATGTTCTTGTTCTTAGGAAATATATGCTCGAGCATTTGTGGAGAAAGGGGACCAATGTTTCCAACTTACTTTCCAGTTGTTCCCCAAAAAACTTGATTGACTGAGAGAATGATAAAACATATGAGGCAAAATATAAATAATTGGTGAATCTGGGTAAAGTGTATACAGGAATTCCTTATTCCTTATCACTACTTTTGCAACTTTTCTCTAAGTTTGAAATTACTGGAAAATACGTTACCAAAACATACGCTTTGCAAAGTCTGGCACACAGGGTTCTATGTGGTTTGGACTTAACAGGAAGGAAACACTGGAGGAGTCTAGAACTCCAATCTCCACAACTGTCCACTTGTGCCAAAGGTCCAGGGGACAGAACCAGAGAGACTCACCCAGGAATGTTAGTCGATCACTGAGCATCATGGCTGGGCCCAGGTTGTCAATGAGATCCAAATCGGAAAAGCAGCCTCGCTCACAGTAATCCCTGAGGAACCTGCAAGGCCAGGTTTGGAGATGAGAGCAGCAGTCCCAGGCCCATTCCTCAGCCTCCCAACTTCCCAGACAGTCCACTGGAAGCCAACACTAGCTGAACCTACCTGTCTGACACCAGCGTGGCAAAGGCCGCATCTTTGGCTCGAATGCTCCAAGAGAGGGCAGAGCCCAGGCGATTGTTCCGGACAGCTTTCATGGCTAAGATCTTACAAATGCTGCGAACTGTGCAGCGGACAAGAGAAAAGGTGAACCATGCACCCTACAAATTACTCCATTCCTGAATCCTGCTGGGATAGGAGCAGCCTTCCCACCTCTTCTGAGCTTTCCACGGCCTCTCCGTAAGCTGCAAACACAGCTTGGTCGGCAAAACTGAGAACTCCAGGGTTTATAAATTGTCTCCTGCCTCTGTTAACAATATGACCCACCCTGGCAGAATTGGCTTTGTGAGTAGGTTTGATGGTGGCAAAAAGACCTTTATTGCTCCCCACAGATCAGTTCCTCCATCACCAGTCCAGGTGCCAGAACTATCATCCCTTGGGTCTTGAATGCCATGTGCTTTCAGATGGTCATAAACATGCAAATGACTCTGGGAAGAATAATAACTTAGGTTCTTACCCCTCAACAGTGAGGGGAGAAAGAAGAGGCAGATTCTATCACTGTGTCCTCCCTGTGCTCCTCCTGAGCCGCCTCCTGTCTTGCTTCTCCACTGAGCCAGCCTTAGCAGCAACAGCAACCCGCTTGGGGCAGGTCAACACAAAGCTGACGCCAGGCCTGATCTCTTGGAGTAAGTATGAGAGAAATGGGCCAGGACCTTTCTAAAAGGCAATGTACTCGACTGCTTCTAGGTCCCAATGGATCCCCAGCTCTTTGTCCCTCCCCAGTAATTTCCCTGTTTCGGCTTCCTCTTAGAAGCCACTGCCTGGCCTCTCTCCAGTCCGGGTGGCATGGTGTGAGCACAGAGTGTGTGCCGGGAGGAGGGCCAACTCACCTTGCTCAGTCATCTGTCGCTGCTCACAAATCCGCAGCACCTTGAGGGCTTTCTGCTCAGTGCTCAGAGGGATCCGCTCGATGTGCAGCTCCAAGGAGACTCGGCCCAGCTCAGGGCAGTAGTCAAAGTAATCCACCCCCAGCTGCCAGAGGCTGCAAAGTTCCGAGGAGGACAGACGTGAGGGCCTGGTGAGCACAGGTGCTGCTCTGGAGCTCAGGGATTGGCACCGAGGTGGCTCCTACCCCAGACCCCTGTAGCCTCTGGGGAACCAGAAGGGACAGAACACAGTCCAAGCTCCAGTGGCACCCATATGCTGAAGAGCACCCCGCTGCCACCCCACCCCCTCAGGGCCTTCCTACCTGTGATGAGCAAACAGTCCTGAGGCATATTCCAGCAGGAGGAACTCTCTCATGTTGGATCCAAAGCTGGAATAAAACATGAGACCAAGACTCCTGGCCTGCTCCATTCAGGGCCTCCTTGTGCAGCCCAACTAGCCTCCCTTCTAGGCCTTTGGTTCGCCCCACCCTCGAGGGCCTGGGTGGTGGGGAGAAGGGGGTTGGCGTGGCCACAGTGCACTTACTAGAGGTTGTGCGACTGGAGGAGTTTGCAGTGATCCAGCAGGTCTGTCAGATGGGCCACAAACCACCAGTTGCTTAGGGCAATGCTATAAGGCAAGGCAAGAAGGAAAGGCAGGGTGAGAGGCAATGGCCCACATGATGGGGCATGAGAAGGAACCCCACATGTACTTTGCTTAAAAAAGCACGAGAGGCACTATGGAAAACAGTATGGAGATTTCTCAAAAAGTTAAAAATAGAAATACCCTATGACCCACCCATCCCATTACTGGGTATCTATCCTAAGAACCTGAAATCAGAAATCCCAAGAGTCCCTTGCACCCCTATGTTCATCGCAGCATTATTTACAATAGCCAAGACGTGGAACCAGCCTACATGCCCAGAAACTGATGATTGGATAAAGGAGATATGGTATATATACACGATGGAATACTACTCAGCCATAAAAAAAGACAAAATTGGCCCATTCGCAGCAACGTGGATGGACCTCGAGGGTATTATGTTAAGCGAAATAAGCCAGTCAGAGAAAGACGAACTCTATATGACTCCACTCATAGGTGGAAGTTAACATATTGACAAGGAGATCTGATCGGTGGTTACTAGGGAAAAGGGGGGGTGGGAGGAGGGCACAAAGGGGGAAGTGGTGTACCCACAACATGACTAACAATAATGTACAACTGAAATCTCACAAGGTTGTAATCTATCATAACATTAATAATAAAAAAAAAAAAGCACGAGAGGGACAGCAACTAACCAAAGTCTGTTTGGAAGCGCAGTGAGGAGTTTCTCTCTGCTACCTGGGAACTAACAACGGACACTCAGAAGGATGTCTGAGCCCCAAAGCAGCAGCCAATGATATTTATCTATGAAGAATGTCACACAGAACATGAAATAAAACCCAGGAATCCAATCAGACGCAGAGAACGTGGATACAGAATAATGTATAAAAGACTAAAAGACTGGTGGTTTTTGATGCTCAATGAAACATGGAATTCAGAGGAATATGTTTGCATTTATACTTCCTGTTAATGTTTCTCAATCTTGTAGAGCTTTTGATTAGTGTACTTATCTTTACAAATATGACTATACACATATGATGTCACTTTAAAAACCATCTTAGGGGGCCAGCCCCGTGGCCAAGTGGTTAAGTTCGTGTGCTCTGCTTCGGCAGCCCAGGTTTCGCCAGTTCGGATCCTGGCACAGACATGGCACCGCTCATCAGTCCACACTGAGGCGGCGTCCCACATGCCACAACTAGAAGGACCCACAACTAAAAATATACAACTATGTACCGGGGGGCTTTAGGAAGAAAAAGGACAAATAAAATCTTTAAAAAAACAACAAACCATCTTAGGGGGCTGGTCCCGTGACCTAGTGGTTAAGTTCAGCACACTCTGCTTTAGCAGCCCGAGTACGGTTCCCAGGCACAGACCTACACCACTCATCGGCAGCCATGCTGTGGCATCGATCCACATACAAAACAGAGGAAGACTAGCACAGACGTTAGCTCAGGGTGACTCTTCCTCAAACAAAAAGAGGAAGATTGGTAACAGATGTTAGCTCAGGGTGAATCTTCCTCAGCACCAAAAAAAAAGGGGGTCTATTAATACTTTGTATAAAGAATTTCATTTTTATTCATTTACATGATTCATAATTTAATTTACTGTATATGTAATCTGACAAACATGAAGGTTAAAAGCCCTTGCCCAAATCACACTTTTTTTTTAAAGATTGGCACCTGAGCTAACAACTGTTGCCAATCTTATTTTTTTTCTTTCTGCTTTTTCTCCCCAAATTCCTCCAGTACATAATTGTGTATTTTAGTTGTGGATCCTTCTAGTTGTGGCACGTGCGATGCCACCTCAGCGTGGCCTGATGAGTGGCACCATCTCAGCGCCCAGGATCCAAACCAGTGAAACCCTGGGCTGCCACAGCAGAGCGCATGAACTTAATATCACTAGGCAACAGGGCCGGCCCCCTAAACCACACTTTTAATCAAAACCTAGAATCATCTGGGGCCCGTTAAAAATGAAGGTTTCTAGGGCCCTCTAAAGGTCTGGTTAAGTAAGCTCCTTGGAAACCAGTGTTTCACATCACCAAGTGTTCATAAACTCTCTAGCATCATGTTGTATAGAGTATGGCAATGCACTTATTGTCAGTGTGCATACATCATTTTGAGTTATATTTTTCATTTGTTACTTGGCATAGGTCTTTCTCTATTTGTATATAATGCTTGACTATAAATCTTGGGAGAGGGAAAAGAAACTTTAATGGTTGCTTTCTAAAAGGCAAATTCAGAGCCAGCCCTGATGGCCTAGTGGTTAAAGTTCAGCACACACTGCTTTGGTGGTCTGGGTTCAGTTCCTGGGTGTGGAACCACACTGCACATCTGTCAGTAGCCATGCTGTGGCAGTGGCTTACAGAGAAGAACTAGCAGGAAGGAAAAAAAAAGAAAAGGCAAATTCAACCACAAGTAAAGTGGATGGAGCAGACTATTAAGGCAGGTGCAATTTCCCAGGTGTAATCATTCATTAAGGTAAAAAGTTCTGCTTTCAGGATATAAAAAGAATAGGGATTGGGTTATAGTGAATTATTGGATAAATGTTTAAAACTTTTACCTTGATCTTATGGATATGGATACTCAGATAGTCCTCTGTTCCAGGATTCCATCACTATGGAACATCATGTTGGCCTCCCTAACATTCTTTTAGAAGATTAGATATATTCCAACTTTCTTAATAGCTGAGTGTGTCTCTGACATTCAAAAAATCATCGGGGGCTGGCTCCATGGCATAGTGGTTAAGTTTGGTGCGCTCTGCTTCAGCAGCCTAAGTTTGTGGGTTCAGATCCCAGGTGTGGATCTACACCACTCATCACATACAAAACAGGAAGACTGGCACAGATGTTAGCTCAGGGCAAATCTTCCTCACCAACCTCACCAAAAAGAAAAATTATCTATGCCAATTTTTAAAAACACCTGTATGTCTACTACCGTCCTCGAATACTAAATTTTATAAATTCATTATGTGCTACACAGGGTACTACCATGCTCAAATTTTTAAGAGTACTTCTTTAGTCCAGGTTTTCCTTTAGCCACGGCTCTCATAATTTTCCAATTCTGCTGTGCGTCTTCTTGACTTTGTCCTTTTTAGACAAAAGAGTCCCAATAAATAAGATATCTCTTTATGGCAGCCTCCTAAATAAACTCCAACTCACTGGATGATGTTGCTCTTAACTGTTCTGATTTCATCAAAGGTCCTTTGAGTTATCAGTAGTTTAACTGAATACTGGTTTTTGGTTAATTAGTCAGTGGTTTAATGGAAAAGGTATTATAACTGGAACTCAAAACTGCCATTTCAGTCAGTCAGTCCCCTCTGCGTGTCCCTTCATCTGTAAATTGGAAGTAACTTTACCTCTTGCCTACCTGGACTGTTTTAAGAAAAAACTTGGAAAATAGATTTTAAATTGCTCTAAGAAGACTCTTCTGAATACTGTTTTATAAATATAAAAATCAGTAAATCTGACCTAGAAGTTAACAAACTGCTTATCAAACTACTAAACTGCTTACCAATGACTATGGATATGCTGAAAAGCATAGCCACGTCCATAGGAAAAGCACTGCAAATCGCTTCAGATCCAGTCCTGCTACTCACTGACTGGCTGTTCAGTTCTTTTACCTTCAGCCTCATTGTCAAAGGTAGAATTATGATGGTCAGTACAGTGTTTTGAGACTGAAGATATGAGAAATTCAAAAATAGATGAAACCAGAAATGACCAGTCCTAAGGAAGAATAAAATATCATATAAGGTGAGGAAGTGTAAACTGAGAAGATGTTAAAACAAGTTGCCGCCTCATATAAAAATACACGCACATCCCCACTCCTCTTAGAATAAGTTCTATATAGAAAATTAGTCAAGAGGGAGCAATTATTTGAGCAGAGGGCTGAAGGATGAGAAGGAACCTGCCACAGGAAGACAAGGGCAAAGAGCATTCCTGAAATAGAGGAAACTGAGCCAGTGTAATAACTCAGGTGGAAAGTAAGGTGGTCTTGTTTCCACTTCAGAATGAAGCCTAAGTCATTCAAACTTCAAGGCAGACAGAGGCCAGCCACTTAGGGCCTTGTGATGGGAATAAGGAGAGCGACGTGGGTTTAAGACTTACAAGATTACTCAGGCTGTTCTGTGAGAATGGACAATACAGGGACAGGGGATGGTGGGGAAGCCAGTTAGGGGCCACCTGTAATAGTTCAGGCCAACGGTGATGCCGGCTGGGCCAGGGTGACAGATGCGGAGGGAGCGAGAAATAGCTGGTTGTGAGATCCATTTGTGAAGGTGAACTAGACCGACTAGTGCTTAAGAGCTCAGTAAACAGTATTTGGACACCCACAGTGCCCCTGGCTGGCAGTGGGACTTTACCAGGGCTCACTTTCCACATTTGTATAAGATAGGCATGAAATCATAGCACCTACCTCAAAGGTTTGTTGCAAGATAAAATAAAATAATCCATAAAAACTCTTAGCCTAATAATTTATGTTAACTATTACCATCACCATTTTCCACACAAATGACTGTATCTGCCTTAGGATTGGTCTCCCAGCTCCTGGCCCTGCCGTCCTCCACACTCTTCAGATTGCTTTTTCTCAAATACAAATGTCATGGCACTGGCCTGCTGAAAATCCTCAGTGGCTCCCCGTTTTCATAAAATCAAAACTATTTGGAATAGTACATTTGGTCTTGATACTCTGACTCCTTTCCTACCTGTCACCAGTTCAACCCCTCTCAGTCTTTGGTTCTCAGGAGACAGCTGCAGATCCTGAGGCAGGCAACAGGCCTTAGTGCTTTCCGCCTACATCTTTTCCCATGCTTCTCTCTCGGCCTGATGTGACCTTTTCTGGTGTTCTTCATTGAACTTTTCAGGACTCAACTTGAGTGCATACTCCTTCAAGGTTTTCCTGACTTTCCAATCTGATAAAGGATCCTCTCATAAGGGGTCCCATAACATCTAGTGTAGACGCTAAATTCCACACAGGAAAAACTGCTGTAATCTTCAAGTTTGGTACCATGTGGGGCATGTGATAGATGCCCAATAAATGTTGACTGAGTTGCACTGAAAAAAAGATGGGAGGGTGTGGGCTGGGTGCGAGGAAATGACACCTCGGCCTTCCAGTACACCTGCTGTTACCCAGACTTCTAGCTGACGCATATGGCAAAACAGTCAGCGAGGTGGCTGCAGAGGACCCCACAGCTAAGGAGGCCAAGAGGGCCCTGAGCAGAGGGAGCCACAGCATGCTCCAGTCTGTGCAGCCCTTGAGTGTCTCCCCAGGAGGATACACCAGCCTCCAAGGCCAGAGGGCAGTGACCACTGGAGGCAGAGGTCTAACAACATGGCTCCAGTGACCGAGCCCCCTGGACAGAGTGCTGAACAAAGCCAGCACGGTCTCCCTGCAAGGCTGGACAAGTCTGCACAACACAGATGTCGGATCTTCACACACGCATAACGGAGAATTCTGAGAGCACCGTCTACACGGAACAGCGAACCACCTCATGGTTCAGAGATGTGCGAGGAAGGCTTAATTAACAGCTCTGGAGTGGCCTCTGCTGGAAAAGGGGGAACTGTGGAGCCAGAGGACGAGCCACAGTGAAGGCCCCACCCTGAGGAAACAACTGTAACCCCCAAGGGACTGTGTGCCCTGCACTGGGGCTGCCGTCACCCCCTGACCCCGACCCCTGAATCTTCCGACTGTCCCCTCCTCTGCCTCGGTGAGCCCTGGCAGCTGTGGACCCTCTTCTATAAATGGGGCGTGAGGGTGTGCACACACCACTGCACCCTGCGGCCAACGTTATGGGCTGGGCCAAAGTTCTGGCAAGAAGATTCTAGATTAGACAAACTGAATCTCTTCTTAGTTTTTGAAGGAAGACCTGTTCCCTTTTGCTTGATACTTTCAGAGGACTTTAAGAGCACCAGGAAGCTGCTATCTCGCCTAGCTCCCAGTGAAGTGTGTGCCAGCTGTTTCCTTCTACTGGACAGCAAGGAACTGGCTTTTAGAGGAAGTTGCAAGCCATAGGGGAGGAAATGAGCCCTGGGAGGATTCCCAACTTCTCCTTTCAGCTGTGGGGATAACTAGCAAACATGTGGCCCTTTAGCAGGGGCTTATGAACTCTGGCCTCCAAGGGCCTTTATGCTCTGCTTCAGGACCCCTCAGTGCCCCTTCTCCCCTTTAGGGTCTGGCATAGTTGACATGGGGTAGTCAGGTGCCCACAGAAACCTCCCTTCCAGTGCCTTTAGAAAGGTTTCCCCTCATTCCCCTTTCACACAGTAATCATGAACCCAGCTGATATCACCCCCAAAGCAGCAAGGCTTCCCTATACCTCCAGCCAACTGGTCCAACTCCAGACAGAGGCCCCTCTCCCTCAGGAACTGACCAGTACAACCCATGAGAAACGAAGTGCTCACAAGACCCCAAATCCAACCCCTCCCATCCAGGCAGGCGCATCTCTAAAACTGCTTCTCTCTCGGAAGATACTTCAGTCCTTCACTTCCTGGGATGAGGTCCTGCAACTTGTTTTCAGCGCCTCTTTCAGAATGGGATAGGAAGTAGCTTCCTGATGAGAAAAACCCAAGCTCTGAGATTTACAGCTAACAGAAATACCTCAGATCCTTTCCTGTGTGCCAGGGCAGACAGATGCCCAGAGCAAGGGGCTGCAAGCCTGACATGAGGGGGATGCCATTTTCTGTCATATTCATAAAAGCCACTCCTCTTCATTGGCACTTCTCTTTTTTTTTTCCTAAGTCACTGAAAAGAACAGCATGCTTTCCCTTTCTATTTTCCTTCCTCCTTGTTCTGCTCAAATCTGTTTTGTTTCTAAATATCCAGATGTGGCTTATGAAGGAAGTCCTAGTAGAAATAACCCACTGCTGTAATAGTATATTTAGGAATGCCTGTTACTTCAAATTATAGGAGAAACACTGCCAAAGCCAAAAAATGATGTGCGCGTGCTTTTAAGTTATTCTCACTAACCCCTCCATGCAGAGGTCCCCCACACCCGCCACCAGTTCAGTTCTATAAGTTATCGTCTAGCTCCTACTAAGTCTGGATTTTATAGGTCTATGAAAAGAATACTGACACAAAACCCGTTTTCTTTCTCCAAATCCAGCATCATTTTTCTTGAAGCCCTGGCTTCAAGGAAGAGCAGGTAGCAGGAAAGGAACCCTTCCCATTGCCCAGATCCACTAAAAATGATCCAGTTGAGGCCAGTGAATTTGATACTTGAGCAGGGCCATCTGCTGCAGTTCCCAACTTTCTCCCTTCCAGGAGTCTTCAGTGCAACACCCACTTGTCGAGGCTGCACAAGAAGGGAGGGAAAATTCTTTACTTATCTACGGAAATTTCTAGAAAGCTTTACCTTTGATTCATTATGTTTAACACTCCCTTTCCTGCCTTGCTGCAGTTTCAATGCAATGATGGGACACTCTTTTGGGGAGAGGGCTGGTATAGAATCCCTGCTCTGAAGAGACCCAGCCAGGAGCCCAATGTATGATAACCCTTGGCTCATGAGAGAGTGCGATTGTTGAGAAGGACTGTCCCTTAAGATGGTTGCATGTCCATTAGATTCCAAGAAACAGGTTTGTTGGCTTTTTCTGGATTTTAAATATCCAAGTAATTTCCTGCAATGTTACTGTAAGTAAACATCCCTGAAATGGAAATTGTTATAAATATGGTAGTCCTCAAGCCTCAGGAAGGTCCCCAAGTTTGTCAAGAGAGAAGCTGTTACCCACCTACATGTGGCTGGGGAGGGGAGCAGGTCTGCAGGAAGAAGGTTAAGACACCAGCAAGAAGGAACAAGACATTCTAGAAAAGGATGCTGATGATGGGTTGTATAACATTGTGAATGTACTTAATGCCACTGAATTGCACACCTAAAGAAGTTAGAACGGTGGTCATGCAGCAGGTCCTACCTGCATTCCTTGATCACTTGGTGGATGTCAAACTCAAAGGCTGCCATCAAGATGTTGTCCAAGGGTTCTGGGCTGCTCTCACCTCCCAGAAACAGGTCAAGGCTGGACTGTGGAAAGGTGGGGACCCACTCAATTCCCAGATGGAAGCAGAGACTCAAGGGGGCGGGTAAGGCTGCTGTGTAGGGAACCCTAGAGAAGGGCGATGGAGCCCTTCAAAAAGGGCCAATAAAAAGCCCCTTCCTGCTCTCCAGGGAGGTTCAGCTCAAAGAGGCCACATGCCGAAAACGACCCAGCAGGGAGCAGCGGCCCCAGGATTCCTACTCCCCACCCTGACCCAGTGGAGCTCAGACTCACCTGGGCATAGAAGTGCAGATCAATGGGTTTTACTGTGGGATGAGAATACAGGAGCCGGGTCACCAGGAAATGATACCAGTTATTCAAAAGCTCCTTCTGCTCCAACAAGGCAGCTTCGTCTCCCAGCATGATCTGAGAAGACATGTTTTCCTTTAGCTCCAGGAGGGACTTCTCTATAACTCTCCCGATCTCAACTAGAGCACCTAGTATGAAAGCTCTCTCCTTCCCGGCAGAGCTGACGGATAGCCCTGTCCAAGGGGCACTAAGTTCCTGCTATGGCTTTGCTAGGTGCCACAGCCCGAGGGACGCCAACTTGGAGTGCAACGTGGACTTGCCTCCCACAGACCTTGCAGAGAGACTCCAGGTGAGGACTGGAGGCGAACGTGCCATCCTGGAGGTGCCGCTCACATTCCTCGTGCCAGTGCTGCCACTTCAGCTCCAGCTCCGTTAGAGTCTGAGTGGTACCAGGCTAAGGGGAGAAATGCAGCGAGGTGCCATCACCACACAAACCCCTTATGCTTAATGAAATACCCGTCTCCCGTGACCCAGCAGAGCAGGGCTGTTGTCACATACGCTGAGCACAGGCATTGTCCTCATCAAGTCCCCCAGGATTCGGCACATGCCTGCAGAGGTGGGACTGCTGTCGGCTTCCTTGGAGAGCATCTGTCGGGCCTCATCCAGCCGGCCCTGCAGCACCAAGATGGTCACCTGAGAGGACAAACAAGAACATGAGCATTCACAGGAGGCCCGGAAGCCAGTCCCCTCCAACCACAATTTGGCTTCCTAGCCTTGAAGAAGCGTGAGGGTTCCTTCCCTCCAGAGGTCATCTAGTGCACCCAGTCTCATGGTTTTAACCTTTACCATGCTTTTCAAACTGCACCTTGTAACCTATTACAGGTTGTGACCAACTTTTAAAAAATAAATGAAATAGAAAATATCATAGTGCATCAAATGAAGTATGGGATCATAAAAGTTTCAGTTCAAATATATATGTGTAATACATATATACTCAATATATATACAGTTCATCCTCTTTATTCAGTGAATTTGTCTACTTGCTAAAATTTGTAACCCCCAAATCAATATCTGAGGTGCTTTCACCATCATTTGTAGACATATGCAAAGCAGCAAAAACTGGATGCACACATTCCCAGCTGAGGTCCAATAAGATGGCACTCTACCTTCTTGTATCAGCTCTCACACTAAACAAGCGTCTTTCTCACAATTTACTTTTTTAAAGATTATAGTTTTCCTTTTTCTCCCCAAAGCCCTCCAGTACACAGTTGTATGTATGTTTAGTTGTGGGTCCTTCTAGTTGTGGCACGTGGGATGCTGTCTCAGCACGGCTTGATGAGCGGTACCACGTCCGCACCCAGGATCTGAACCAGCAAAACCCTGGGCCGCCGAAGCCGAGCGCGCGAACTTGACCACTCAGCCACGGGGCTGGCCCCTCCTGATTTATTTAGTGCCACATTTTTTTATATTTTTGTGCTTTCTTTTGGGCCCCAAGCATAGTGCTGAAGTGCTGTCCAGTGTTCCTAAGTGCCAAGAAGGCTGTGATGTGCCATATGGAGAGGATACACGTTAGATAAGCTTCGATCAGGAATGCATTACACTGCTGGTGGCCCTGAGTTCAACGTTAATGAATCAATACTGTATATTAAATACAGTGTCTTTAAACAGAAACATACACAAAACAAGGTAATATATTGATTAGCTGACAAAAATGTTGTGACCAGAGCTTCGAAGGAACCCTGTATTCACCTAGGAGCAATGGTTCAATAATTACTAATTCAGTTTTCCAGGCAACTTTATACACCGTAACTATCATGAATAATGAAAATCAACAGTATATACATACAAGTATATATGTAAAATATACAAAGTATGATTTTTTCTTAAGATTGGCACCTAACATTTGTTGCCAATTTTCTGTTTTTTTTTTTCTTCTTCTCCCCAAAGCCCCCCAGTACATAGCTGTATATTGTAGTTGTAGGTCCCTCTGGCTCTGCTATGCAGGATGCCATGGCCTGATGAGTGGTACTAGGTCCGTGTCCAGGATCCGAACCAGCAAAACTATGGGCTGCTGAACTGGAGCGTGCAAACTTGACCACTTGGCCACAGGGATGGCCCCTAAAATTTTTCTTACTGTAAGTCATGCTCAAAAGAGCCAAGGATATACAGTATGCTGACAAGTCTTTGATTTTTCTCTCTAGCCTGGAATTCCTTCTCTGAATTCCAGACTGGTATATCCTACTGCCTAGTCAATGGCTCCACTTGGACCTCAGAGGCATCTTAAGCATATCTAAAAGTAAACACCTGGTTGCCTGCAACTCACTAACCTGATCTTCCCACATTCTTCTATTTCTTACACACTCACATTCAATCCATTAGAAAATCCCATCAACTGTATCTTTAAACTGCATCCAGAATCTAATCACCTCTTACTATCTCCTCTGCTCAGCTCCTCCCCTTGTCCAAGTCAGCACCATCTCTGTCTGGTTTAGTACCACAGCCTCCAGACTGGTCTCTCTGCTTCCACCCTTGCTATTCTCAGTAGGGCAGCCCAAAGAGCCTTTGAAAACCCAAGTCAGATCACAGCTCTTCTTTGCTCAGCTCTCCAAAGCCCCCCTCATCCCATCTGACTCAGGAGTACAACAGGAACTCTTACTGTGTCCATCAACCAGCTGATACACATTTGTGTCCTTCAACTAATTTAATCATAATAGCTCTATGGGGTAAGTGTTCTTATTATCCATTGTACAGATGAGGAAACTAAAGGCTGTTAAGTAACTCACCCAAGACCTCACAGCTAGTAAGAGGCAGAGCCAGGATGCTAACCCGGGTAGTCTGGTACCATAGACCATCTCCTTACCCCTCTGCTATATTGCCTCCCTAAAAGCTAAAGTCCTATGACAGCCCAGAAATCCCTCTAGACGTGGCCCTCTATTTCTCTGTCCTTATCTCCCCAACTCTCTCTCTTGCTTATGCTGCTCCTGGCTCACTGGCCTCCTTGTCATTCCTCGTCCTACTCTGTCTCTAGGACACAGCATCTGCAGGTCTCGCTGTCTGGATGTTCTTCTCTCCTTTCATAAGCACAGCTCCCCTCCTCACCTCCTTCAGGTCTCTATTCACACATCACCTCAGGAGTGAGGCCTTCCTTGACTCCCCTCACTCTAGCACTCCTAATTCCCCTCCCGTGCTTTATTCCTCTCCATAGCACTTCACTACTACACATGCGACATATTTCGCTTGTTTCTATATCTATTCCCTGTCTCCTCACCCAGAATGTAAGCTCCATAAGGACAGGAATCTTGGGCCGCTTTGATCATGGTTGTTTCCTCAGTGCCTTGCAAACAGTAGTAGTCACTACTCAGTGAATGAATCAGAGACTCAAAACCTGGGCCCAATACTTCCTGAGCAAGGGCTCTCTCCTTACCTGCACAGACCTCCCGGCACCAAAAGGCCGTGGAAGAGCCCCAAAAGCAACAATTCCCCACCTGAGTTCCAGATTTTATGAGTTTAATCAACCTTCCATTACTCAGGTCAACTAGCAACCTCCTCCCTGCTACCGCCCAGCTGGGTCACAGGTCAGCAGAGGTGAATGAAAGCGAGCACAGCTGTCATTGGCAGTGCATACATACAAGCACATACACACACCTGACATACTCACTGACTCCCAAACTGATAATCCAAAATGACCCTGGGATCAATCTTTTCGTGTAATAGCTTTATTAAGATATAATTTACATATTATCAACATTCTCCTATTTGGTGTCTAATTCAATGAGTTTTCGTAAGTTTACAGAATTGTGCACCATCACCACAACCCAGTTTTGAAACATTTTGATCATCTCAAACAACCCTCACACTCAGTTACATCACCCACCCCAGCCCCTGTCAATTGGTTTTGTGCTGTCTTCAAGTCTTCTGTTCATTGGATCTACAAAGAAATCAAATTTCTCTTCTCACTGGCAAGTCTGCAAAGCATTACTTTTTTACATGATAACTTAGTTCTAAACTCTCCTACGGAGCAGGCAAGAAAAGATCTAAGAGTGTCTCCACATAGACTCAAACAGCCAGGCCGAGCACACACATGCTCAGCAGCAACCTTCAGGCCTGCCTGCGAACACTGCGGAACAGAGAATATGAGGTGAAAGGCAGGGAGGGCCGGGCTGCACGAGGTCCTTACCAACTTCCAGAAGCTCTCGTGTTTCCTTGGATTCTCACTGCCCAGAACATCTGCCAACAAATTGTCCACTTCACACACGTGCAGTCGGACCCAGTCAAGGAGATGCAGGAGGAGAGGGCCAGCTGGGAGGAAAGACTCTCATCACACAAAAGCCTCAGCTCCATCTGCAGAAAATTTCACTTTCCCATAGTACAGACAGAGAATGTAGGGCAGACGAGCTATGTAGGAAGTGGAAGTGGTTTATCCCTCTTACATGGGCACACATGTGGTCCTAAATAGAGGACTAGGCTAGCAAATGGACTTTTGTGGAATACTTCCTCTGTGCCAGGCAGCTCCACCTTTCACTGAATCCTGGAAAGGGATGAAGAGAGACCTCACCACCCCCCACCACCCCCAGATTCTTCACAACTATGCAACACCCAGTGGCTATGTAAGTAATGGCCATTTAGGGACTGATACTGACTAGGTGCTAGGTATGCAATGATGATAAAAACAGTGACATCCCTCAAAAATCTACTGGAGGAGATAGGCATAAAACCCACTAATTTTAATTTCAAGTTGCCCAGTGCTTTAACAGGAGTATAAATAAAAAGCTATGACTGCAGAGAGATTATTAACACTTGTTTATGGATAACAGCAAACATAAACCATTAAAAGAATGCAAATGCGGGGCCAGCCTGATGGTGCAGTGGTTAAGTGCGCACGTTCCGCTTCCTGGCAGCCTGGGGTTCGCTGGGTCGTATCCCGGGTGCAGACATGGCACCGTTTGGCAAAAGCCATACTGTGGTAGGCGTTCCATGTATAAAGTAGAGGAAGACGGGCATGGATGTTAGCTCAGGGCCAGTCTTCCTCAGCAAAAAGAAGAGGATTGGCAGTAGTCAGCTCAGGGCTAATCTTCCTCCAAAAAAAAAAAAAAGAATGCAAATGCCTTACAGAGAGCCCACTCAATCCAGGACACTGTACTGACCACAATTTAATTCAAGGTCAATGGAATAATTGGAAATGGACAGATAATGTGCAGGGTTGTCCCAGCCCCAAGCACTAGCAACAGAATTCTCAAAGTGACTTTGCCTCCCATCACCTAATCCCTCTTCACATCCCTAAAACTTTCTTTTCCTTATTTAATTTCTTTTCTTTTAAACAACAGAAATGTACTGTCTCCCAGTTCTGGAGGCTAGAGTCTGACGTCAAGGTGCTGGCAGAACTGCTTCCTTCTGCGGCTGAGGAAGAACCTGTTCCAGGCCTCTCCTCTAGCTTCTCCGCAAACTTTCCTAAGCTTGACCAGCCCATGACAGAAATATTGACCACTCCTTTCACACACTAGTTTAACATCTGTTCTGTTGGTATTTTTCAGGGGCCACCTGCCTAAATTTTAGGTTACTAGAAGGCATTGTGTCTGATTCTTTTTGCAGTGTCTGGCCCAATGGCAGGCTTCTTCAGGTGTTATGTAATGCTTTCTGAAGGTTATGCTGATGAAAAGAGCATTCTAGGCAACGAATCACTCACCAGAGCACACAGGAAAGACAAAGACGAAAGGACAGGGGGACACCTTTGACACTGTCACAGGATCATTCCATGCTCACCTGGGGCTACTTCAATAAAAAGAATCTCACAAAGGTTCCAAATGAGCTCCATTGCTGACAAAATGGAGACCTAAAGGAGAAATGGAGACAAAGTTTTGACTGAAAACATTCATGAGATTTGCTCTTGGAGCAAAGAACAAAAGCAGGGCTTGAATCACAGCTCAACGTTCACTGACCATTCGTATGGCAGAGCTTCCCACAGGGCAGCCAGTGAGAATAAAGGGGGCGAGGCGCAGACTAACGTTTTTCAATCTTAATCGTTGTGGTTTTAGTTTAATGTGCGTTAGAAAAATATAACTAGCTCATCACACCCATGACCTTGATGTATATTACAGTTTAGGAAGAGGCTTTGAGTAAAAACAGAAGACGATTTTTAGAAAAATATTCAGTAAATAATATTACAAGAAATGTACAGATATAGCAAAAATTGTGGAGTTGGTATTCAAAGGTCTGAAGTTTAGCAAACAGTCTATTAAAAGGCAAACCCAATATAAGACCCCAAAATAAATCAGGTCTAGACCCTGCCCTGAGGAACACGCCATCGCCTCTTCCCCACCACCCTTCCGTACACAAACACAGAACACCTTCTTCACAAGGGAAAATAAATGCTTTGCTGACTCTAGAGACAGTGCATCAGGCCTTATTCACTACTGAGTTTGAACACCACCAAGATTCCAGCAAAGAAAGAGGACACTTAGTCATCGTCCAGCTCCAACTAAAGTACAACAACTTGCAGCTCAGTAAAAATGCTGGTTCATGAGTTGAGTACAGTTTATAAGACTAAGCAGGGGCTGGCCCAGTGGCGTAGCAGTTAAGTCCGCCCATTCAGCTTCGACAGCCCCGGGTTTGCCAGTTCAGATCCTGGGTGCGGACCTACGCACCGCTTGTCAAGCCACGCTGTGGCAGGTGTCCCACATATAAAAATGTAGAGGAAGATGGGCCCGGGTATTAGCTCAGGGTCAGTCTTCCTCAGCGAAAAGAGAAGAAAAGAGGAGGATTGGTGGCAGATGTTAGCTCAGGGGTATTCTCCCCCCTCCCCGCCCAAAAAACACTAAGCAGTGGTTTCAAAACCTCAGCTCACTATCTCGGGTGACACAATGTGGTTAGGATTCATTTTTCCCTTAAGAACTGAAAACTCATACAAGTATTTATCAAGTACATCCTTGTGTTCCAATGTACTAGGCCTTGAAGGGGGCATCAGGAAGTTCAAGACAGTCCTTATCACCCCAAGGACTTACCTGTCTACCTGGAAAGAAGACAAACTTCAGCAAAAACAGTGACTGCAAAGCCACCTGAGGTGGGTGTCAAGGATGCAGAAAGACATAAAGGTGCCAGAACAATAAAGGTGGCTCCCCTTACCTGGCTGCTGAACTGGCGGCTACAGGCTGGATCTTTGGCAGCAACTACCAAAACACAAAACATTTTAAGTGAGCAATGACACTTGCAGTCTTAGTGTTTTATGTTCATAGACCAGGTTCTGTGGCTTGTGCCATTGTGTCTTCTGATGACCAGGCACTTTTACTACTGCTATTTTTTAAATGCTTCCTAACTCTTTGTTGTAGATCAGTGATCCTCAAACCAAGGCCCTCAAGTTACAAGCAGCACTGTCAACTGCACCACGGCCAAGAGCAAGAAGAGACCACCGTGTTATACAAGATTCTATCCGGGGGCTGGCCCTGTGGCCGAGTAGTTAGGTTTGCACTCTCTGCTTTCACAGCCCAGGGTTTTGCCGGTTCAGATCCTGGGCGCAGACGTGGCACCACTCATTAGGCTGCGCTGAGGCAGCATCCCACATGCCACAACTAGAAGGAGCCACAGCTGAAATATACAACTATCTACTGGGGGGATTTGGGAGAAAAAGCAGAGAAAAAAAAAAAAGAAGATTGGCAATAGTTTTTAGCTCAGGTGCCGATCTTTAGGGAAAAAAACAGATTGTATCTGGCATCCAGGAGTCATGTGGCTCTCATAGTTATGGAGACTTTAAATCACCAAGATCAGAGATCTGGGAATGAGATTTTCAAACATCCTTAATTTGGCCCTTTAGCCTCATACCTGTCAACTCAATATGTTCTAACTTGAAAATGTACTCAAGATGTTTGCCAAAAAATTAAGGATTATGTAAGATGGGAAAATAAGAGTTCTGAACTAGAATGTCAGTCAGAGTTTACTTTGTAATATTTACAGCCAGATAAATACTTGAATTACTATCACATATACACAGACAAAATCTTACTTGCAACTTGGTGCATTTCCTCCATACACGCTCTTATGACTGATCGGTAGTTTTTACTCACTCGAACCAATCTACAAAAAATGAAATGACTACAAGATAAGCCTGGAACATCCTGTGGTGATACAAAGTAAGGAAATTCTCAAAAAAAGATAGGCACTTGATAAAAGACAGGCGCCAACTTGAAGGAACTCCTAATGGCCAACGCTGGAACAACGTGAACAAAATAAATAGAAGACTATATAAGCCATGGAATAAAATAAATATCCATGAATCCATACTGATATTAATTGTTGCAGATGATATTGATGGACACTAAAATTAGTGGTTGAAAATTTGAGGAAAAATAAGACAAAGGGACAGATGGTAACTTTATAGTAGAGAAACCCAGTAGAAACCACGTTAACCAAGTGATCAAGGTCAACATCACCAGTAATAAAACATCAGCATCACGACTCTCATGATGTGATGTACTGAGAAGGAAATATCATACCACTTTTGTGGTATTCTTGCTAAAAATGCATAACCTTTGTACAATCATGAGAAAACATCAGACAAACCCAAATTGAGGGACAGTCTCCAAAATAATTGGTCAATACTTTTCAAATGTCAAGGTCATGAAAGAGACTTAAGGAGAAAAACTAAATGTAACCCCATTTAGTTGCAGAAGAGGGAAAAAAAGGACATTAGTGGAAAAGTTGGTGAAATTCAAATAAAGGCTATAGTTAATTACATTGCATCCATGGTTAAGTTTCTTGGTTTAAGTAACAATAATATGGTTATGTAAGATATTAACATCAGGGAAGCTGTGTGAAGGATGTACAGAAATCTATTATTTTTGTATTTTTTTATGTCTAAAATTAGTTCAAAATAAAATTTTTAAGAAAGGAAACAGAACAAAACAAACACCCACAAGAAAGCAATTAATTGGTTGTTAGTTACCAACATGGAGATCTTTACCAAGAAAAACATTACTAGTTGTAGATAAAGAGAACTAAAGGCCACCTATTGGCTCCATTTAAAAATGAATAGTAGCTACATTCTATATATGGCCTACAACAGGGCTGGCAAAGGGGGTGAAACGATTTGCACGCATTATTTCACCTAATCCTCACTACTCTGTACCCTTTTCAGTCAAGAATCAGACCCAGATAAGTAACTCACCAGCCAAAAAAACATGATATGCTGGCCTCCATGCACAAAACAGAAGCTACCAACCCACTGTTAGTAGGATATTCACATATGCACTCATTTATTCAAACGTTTTGGAGCACCTACTGTACAGATGTGCAAGATGTGGGAACAGAGGGCCCATGTAAATAAGACAGGGTCACTGCCTTCAGGAAATTACAAGATTTGTTTTTATCAAGGAAGTAAAATATTGTGATATTGTGATTTATAATAAGAAACATATATTTGGTCTTCACCCCTGGTCTCTAAAACCTTTGTAAATTCCTAAGTGATAAGAGCACTATGAGCATCTTTTGTTCTGATGAGGTGACTCCAGGTGGGTTCTTGGATGGCTCCTGAATGGGGGCTGGTCACCAGAAAGAACAAGTCATGATTAGAAGCTTAAAATTTTCAGCCCTGTCCCCCACTTCACTAGAGGGGTGAGTGACTGCAAATGGAGTTCATAACTGACTGTGCCTACGTGAGGAAACGTCCATAAAATCCCAATAGCATGGGGTTCAAAGAGCTTCCAAGTGGGTGAACACATCCACATAACAGGAGGGTGACACACCCCAACTCCATGAGGACAGAAGTTCCTGTGCTCAGGACCCTACCAGACCTCGCCCTGTGTACCTCTTTATCTGGCTATCCATCTGTATCCTTTTTATTATATCCTTTCATAAACTGGTAAACATAAGTAAGTGTTTCCCTGATTTGCTAGCTGCTCCAGTAAATTAATCAAACCCGAGGGGGTCCTGGGGACCTCTGATTTGTAGCCAAGTCGGACAGAAGTTGTGGGTAACCTGGGGACCCACTACTTGCAGTTGGCATCTGAGCCCTTAACCTGTAGGATCTGACACTATCTCCAGGTAGAACTGAGTTAAACTGGAGGACACCTAGCTGGTGTCAGAGAATTGCTTGGTGGGAGAAACTCCCACACATCTGTTGTTGTGAGTTGGCAGGAGTGTGAGAGTAAAGGAGAAACACAGGAGTAGAGAAAAACTGGGTTTTTCCCAATACAAATATCAACACTTTCCATGCCCTAACCATACGAATGGCCACTGATAGAAACCTAACACCGGAGTCCAAACTCCGCCGTGCTTAAGACTCACCGGAGAGTTTACGATGCACCCCAAGCAAGTTTGATTTTGATGATCTGAGGTGAGGTTAACAAGTACCTGACAGTGATGCAGTTAACTCATGAACCACACTTCAAACAATCCTAGTCTATAAACAGTACAATAGTTTCCTGGTTTCTTGCCAAAAAGTGCCTTGAGAATAATTCTTTAAAGACAAGATGAAACTTATTTTTCTATTAATTTCAAAGTCTCCCAACAGTGGGACTTCATTCAATGATTCTCAGGTGCTTATTTGGCCTAAATTTTCTTCTTTGGAGGGTCAATGTAGTAGGAATATACACAAAGAAAACTTATCAAGCCAGCAAGTCAATCAATAGCCATCTGCACATTCCCTGTAAGACATCTGCGTCCATGACCGCTCACACTGCCCAGTACTGAGGCCACAAAGTCGAACCAGGAGTCCCTTATTTCTCTAGGCGATCCACGCATCATGCAAAAGGACAAGGGTGCATTTCATATGGCTTTTTACAATTTAGTTGTGGATTTCAGCACATATCAGCAGCCTACTTACTGAGCTTTTCTGGATTTTCCAGTCAATTCTTCTTCAATTCTCTGGAGGCCCACAAAGATTCCATGGGATTCATTAAAGAGTTTTCTCAAGATCTGAGAGTAAACATCTACATCCTTCCGGATGATATAGATAACGGGGCAGCCTGGCACCGTCTCTGATTTTTCTGAAACAAAATAGGAAAAAAAAACTTAACATCTATCACCATCACCCTCATAAAAGAACACACTCTAAAAGTTTTAACTGAGTGTCTAATTACAAAATTTCAGCTTCTTTGCCACTGATTTCATGTATTAAAAAATTATATAAATTACCATTTATAAATTATCCACACATGAATTTTTAAACACAAATGCTTATTCTCAGACTCGACTCCTCAACTCACTTATTTTAGAACTACCTTTCAACTTCATCAACTGAAAAAAATAAACTCAATATTAGCCTATGTAAAACTTGACGAATAAGCCCAAGTTTTATATAATCTCAAAGTCAAGTAAATATTATCTTTATATTACTTTGTCCTGCCATTACCCCTAAAACAAAGAATCAAGAAACTATGATTAAACTATGGGGCCGGCCCAGTGGTCTAGTGGTTAAGTTCGGCGTGCTCTGCTCTGGCAGCCCTGGGTTTGGTTCCCAGGCACAGACCTACACCACTCACCAGCCATGCTGTGGGGGCAACCCACATACAAAATGGAGGAAGACTGGCCACTGATGTTAGCTCAGGGCAAATCCTCCTCAGCAAAAAAGACAAAAAACAAAAACAAAGAAAAAAATAATTGACTAAACTATTTCACAACAGCAATGAAAAGGCTCTATAATGATAAATTATAAACTACCAACTTGTGGCAATTTCTTATATAACAGCTTCTTCAGCAAGTTGTGATGATGTTCGATGGCTTGTCTCGAATGTGATTGCAACAGATAGAACCAAAACGAAAAAAACCTCATGTTTTTAACAATCGAGGACAAACTAGAAATGTTGATAAGCTTTCTCATTAAGTATGAAAACAGGTCATACAGACATAGTCACAGAAGTTTCCCTTCTGAGGAACTGCCCTTTTGGTAGATCCCACAGCTGTGCTGAGCTTGAGATCTTCAATACCAACACATCCCACAAATACTTAGCAACATTAGGGACAATTCTTCACTATAAAATCAAGAAAAACAACATCACTTAAAAATTACATGAACTGCACACCATATAATTTGCTAAAATTCCAAGACTTTCATTAGCTCAGTCTGCTCAGTCGGCTCCTTATAAAAGAGGAAAACCTCCACATTTGGATAAAGAACCTGTCAAAGATAAGCGAGCAAGTCTCTGCAATATTTCCCGACACCTCTCTCTTGAAAAGGAGAAAGCAAAATTGAACATCAAGATTTCAGTTTTTGGGGGGTTTTTTCATTGCGGTAACATTGGTTTACAATATTATGTAAATTTCAGGTGTACATCATTATGTATTTCGATTTCTGTGTAGATTACATCATGATCAACACCCAAAGACTAATTACCATCCATCGCCACACACATGTAGGCTACAGAACAGCCCACAGAATTCAATCGAGTTCACAGAGATAACACGAAGGCAAGGGCTAGGAGACCTGCAAAGTCTCACAATAATGGGACTGCTATGAAGGGAATTTAGTCACTCTGGACAAGAAGGGGGAAAAAAGCTTGAAGTTTTCAAATATAAAGAAAATCTTTTAACACCAAGAAGACTATCATGAATTTTATTTTTCCTGGACTCAACATCTGCCAGGCCTCATAAATCAATGAAAATCTTAAACAGCTAATATTTCAATAATAAAATGGTACAAACTAAGTTCAGCTGTTTCCTGCTTCAGCTAGTCAAATCTGAGAGAATAAAGAAAAAAACACCAAATGTGCCAAAATGGATAACTTAGAATTAAAAAAAGTAATAACTACCTTTTTTGTTGAAGGAGGTTTCACACACGAGCATCTCCCCTGGACCCCAGTCAAAACACATTTGCTTCTTACTGGAATTCACTCCTGGAATCAACTAGTGAAAAATAAGGCACAGAAAGTGTTATTCTTACCAAAGTTTATTTTCAACTGACTTGTGAGTAAAATCCTAGAAATCAGTGGTCTTGAAAGTTATTAAGTGCTTATCTACGTACACAGCTGAGGGTGGCTGAGATCAGCCCAGTCTGTTAGACCCAGAAAAAGCAACTGAGATTTGCTGGGCACTTCAACCCAGCCTGCCACTTCTTAAGTGCTGATAAAAAGGAAAGCTACTCCCTAATCAATTACTATATTGGAATTTAGTGATCTGTAGTTCAGAAAAAGAGAAGTTAAAGAAATAAAAAAGGGGGGCTGGCCCCGTGGCCGAGTGGTTAAGTTCACGCACTCCGCTTCAGTGGCCCAGGGTTTCGCCGGTTCGGATCCTGGGCGCGGACATGGCACCGCTCATCAAGCCATGCTGAGGTGGCATCCCACACAACACAACCAGAAGGACCTACAACTAGAATATACAACTATGTACTGGGGGACTTTAGGGAGAAGAAGAAGAAAAAGAGAAGATTGGCAAGAAATGCTAGCTCAGGTGCCAATCTTTAAAAAAAAAAAAGAAAGAAAAAAGGAATTAAACTGTTACTCACTAAAAAGAGAGACCTCCAAGGCCACAGCTTCTGTGCCATCTGTTTGATGATGACTCTCAATTTTTTTCTCCAACTCAGACCAATTCCTTTGAGCCCCAGCTTTATGCGTCCAACTGCCTAATCCACACCTTTACAGGTTATCTAAGCTTTATGAACTGTATCCATAAGATCAAGAGCCAAAGAAAGAACTCTTGATGCTCATCCCCAAACCTCATTCCACTCCCCAACTGGGACGAAGTCTTCCTCAACCATTAGGAGTAATCCTTGATTCTCCTCTTCCCCTCACCACCTATGTCCAGTCTATAAGTAAATCCTGTTCTCTTCCTAAATAAACCTGAATCCAACCACTTACCACTTCTACCAGTCCAATTTAAGCCACCAGCAACTCTCATCTGGACCACTGTAACAGCATTTCTCGGTGCCTAAAATATTCTCCTACATGGTTAACACCTGCACCATAAATAGACAAAAGCTCACGAGAGCAGGGGACTCGAGGATTCTCATTCACTGCTTAGAAGAGACCCTGGCACTCCATAAATATTTTTGGCAGGCAACGAATTTGGCTGGCAATAGTCTGGTCTCAAGACAAGTGCATTCAGTTCTTAGGAATGGCTACTGCAGTCATTTAATAACTAAGCAACATTTATTAAAGCTTTTTCTGTACTGGCCTCCAGGAATACAATAACGTGTAATACAGCCTCTGCTCACCAAAAGCCAGCAGTCTACTAAAGACCAAGAAACAAACAGGCAGCAAGACAATTGGAGAAATGCTAAGACAGAGATACACACAGAAGAGCATCTGTTGTAGCAGACTCTTAATGGATGAGCAAGCCAGGCAAGGGGGAAGCATTATACACAGTGGGGCTGGGGCAAATGGATATCCATATGAAAAAATGAACCTCACATCATAGACAAAAATTCACTAAAAATCAGTTATAGGGACAAATGCAGAGCAAAATCTATAAAGCTTGAAAAATCTTTCTGACCTTAAAGTCAGCAAAAATAGATAAGACACCAAAAGTACAAATCATAGAAGAAAATTTATAAATTAGACTTCATTAAAATAAAAACTTTTAGGGGGCTGGCCTCATGGCCAAGTGGTTAAGTTCACATACTCCGCTTCAGCAGCCTGGGGTTCACCAGTTCAGATCCTGGGCACAGACATATGTGACACTCATTAAGCCATGTTGTGGCAGCATCCCATGTAGAAGAATGAGAGTGACCTACAGGTACGATATACAACTATGTACTGGGGTTTTGGAGAGAAAAAAAAAAAAGAGGAAGATTGGCAACAGATGCTAGCTCAGGGCCAATCTTCCTCACCAAAAAATAAATAAAAACTTTTGCTCTTCAAAGATATCATTAAGAAAATGAAATGGTGGGGCTGGCCCAGTGGTGTAGTGGTTAGGTTCGCATGCTCCGCTTCGGCAGCCCAGGGTTCGCAGGTTTGGATCTGGGGAGCAGATCTATACACTGCTCATCTAGCCATGCTGTGGCAGCACCCCACATACAAAATAGAGGAAGAGTGGCACAGTTGTAAACTCAAGGACAGTCTTCCTGAAGCAAAAAGAGGAAGACTGGCAAAAAATGTTAGCTCAGGGACAATCTTCCTCACCAAAAAAATTTTAAAAATTAAAAATTAAAATTAAAAAAAGAACGGGTTGGCCTGGTGGCATAGTGGTTAAGTTTGCATGCTCTGCTTCGGCGGCCCAGGGTTTGCAGGTTCAGATCCCAGGCGTGTGGACATAGCACCACTCTTCAAGCCATGCTGTGGTGGCATCCCACATAAAATAGAGGAAGGCTGGCACAGAGGTTAGCTCAGTGACAATCTTCCTCAAGCAAAAAGAGGAAGATAGGCAACAGATGTTAGCTCAGGGCCAATCTTCCTCTCTCTCTCTCTCACACACACACACATACAAAAATTAAAAAAAGAAAATGACAGGCAAGCCACAAACTGGGAGAAAATATCTGCAAAACACATATTTGATACCCAGAATAAAGAAGTCTTACACTTCATTAAGAAACCCAATAAGAAAATGGGCAAAAGATTTTAACAGACATTTCACCAAAGGAGATATACAAACAACATATAAGTACATAAAAAGGTGATCAATATCTTTCATCATTAGGGAAATAAAAATCAAAATAATAATGAGCTACCACTATATACCCACTAGAATGGCAACGGCCAAAATTAAAAAGACTGACCATACAAAGAGTTGATGAAGATGTGGAACTGGAACTCTCACACTTCACTGGTGCAAAAAAATGGTATAACCACCTTGGAGAACTGACAGTTTATTTTAGCTAAATATGCATCTGTCCTAGAACCCAGAAATTCCACTTCTAGGTATTTATCCAGAAACAAACGAACGAACAAAAGGCAACAAAAACTACAGCTTACATTTCTTGAGTCTTTGAAACAAAAGGATAAGACCATTGATCTAGAAAAACTCTAGACTATTCAATTCTCTACTCTGGATCTACACTTAAAACATCCTTGAATCTGCTTATTACTAACGAGACTTCACGTGCCCTGATAATAGTAAGCAGTTGTATGAAGAGCAGGCACAACCACTATAAAAGGTGACAGTGTTAAGATTATTCCTTAGTCTCTTGAGAGTGTGTAGAGTCAGACCAAAGAGCAGAACAACTTTCAAATACAGACATGACTGGGTTTGAACTTCAAAGTTGAGGTTCAGACTCTAGGCTATGGCGTTCTACCAAGATAATGCCCCACTGTGAGGCTGTGCCCACAAGGCCAACCAGTTTCCTATCGGGTCTCCCGAACACCAATGTACAACTGAGTTATCACAAATCAGTTGTCACTACTGTGGGTAAAAATAAGCTTAGATTCTCTTCATTCCACTTGTAAATGCATGGCTCATTATCATGGCTCAATATCAAAGTAGTGGCTCGCCAGTGTCGTACAGGGTACTGGGAAGGTTTCCCCACGCAAAGACTCTGACATAAAAGAAGGAGGGAAAGGCAAGACGACAGGTAGTTTGAAATAGTTCCAGTGATTCTGACATTCTAATTTTTCTTCTTGCAAACACTGACGTAGTCATTGATGGTTATTTAACAAACTACTTTGTACATGTTCTAAAATCTAACACTCTTACAGTGGTAAACTTCATAATAACCCACGTGAGCTATTAAGATCTCATGTCTCCTTTCACCCAGTTTGGTTTGTCAGATACTGCTTTGCAATCTGATGGCTTTAGCTGAAAACTGTAGGCATCTCAACTTTCTAAAAAGCAAAAACAGAAGGTCAGGCAACTTGCAGTTTAGTGGGGCTTATAGGTTACCAAGAGCTAAGAGGTGCAGAACAAGCCTATAACGGGCAGCCAGACATTGTTGACCTACTCAGGGAAGGCTTTTCTGAGAAAGAGGCTGCTGGAGCTTGCATTTGAAAAGCGAGGAGACAAACCTAAAAGACAAGAACCTTCCAAACAGGGGGAACAGCACATATCTCGTATCTAAAAGCTATTAATCTCTTTATAAACATCTTAGGCCATCCACACTTGACACACTCTCTTAAGAACACAGATAAAATAGAAAGCAAACAGAGCAATAGAAACAGGAATAGACTCCCGAGAGAATAAACACGTTTAGCAAACTTTGGGCCAGCACGGCACTACAAGCAGGAACCAAGCTCACGGCGCTGCGAGGTGAAGCTCAGTTCGGCTGGAAAAAGAAAGCCCCAATTCCTCGGCATGGTCCAAGCCCGCTCATTAGAGCATTAACCCAACAGGAAAAGCGAGGGAAGTAGAAAGGTAGAGAAGACAGCCAAGGGAGGGAGTGGGATGAGGTGGGGCCTCCGGGGCCAGGTAGTCTGAGTATGTCAAAGAGTAGAAACCCAGCGACCCAAACACGGGCGCCTAGTTAATATGACCCCCGGGCAGCGGCAATTAAGCTGTGGGAAGGGGACGGATGCCTCTCGAGCGGCAGGGAGGTTAGACAAGCCTGCAGTGACGGAGCAGACTCAATCCTCGGACCGCGAGGGCAAGCAAGACTGTTCCGGGCGCCCTTACAGTGACTGTCGGCTCGCCATCGAGCTCCTCCATAGCGCCAAGCCTCAGCCACCTGGAATTTGCAGGGCCGCCAAAGCTCCGGGCTCGGGCCTCCGGCTCAGCGCCCGTTGCGAGAGAGGACCCCGCCCGGGCGCCTCCTGTACTGCCTGCGGGCCCAAACCCCCCAATGCCGCAGGGGCCTCTCCTCTCGGCCATGGCCACCACTCTGCGGCACTCTACACGCGTGCCTCCATCCTGGCCTCGACAACGCGTCAGGGAAAACTGCGCCAGGGGTAGCCTGTCTTCACAGTAACCCTTCTGCCAGATCAGGCGCTACCGCGAACAGCCCCGCATGGGACCAGGAGAAGGACCCACCCCCCCACCCCCCCGGGGACGTCGGGAGCGGCTGCGCGTGCGCGGACTGGGGTGGCTCTTCTGTGGCGAGAGGTTGGCCCGGGCGTGAGCGGTCCCTAAATCTCTGTCGACTTTGGCTTGCTTTGCGCTTTCTTGGTCTGCTGTTTATAGTCGTCGCGGCCGCTTCTGTCAGCGGTGTCCAGGGCAAGGGAGTCCCTTCCCGTGCCCTGTCTCTCCATCGGGCTTTTGTTCGAAGGCAGTCGCTGCCACACCTACCCCAAGGCGCTCTAGAGGCACGCGGACAAAATTGATGCGGCTCAAACAACTGTGAAATCGAGACAGCTGGGTTTGCTTAATTAAACACAAATATTGGTTTGTTATCTCACCAAAGCAAAGCAGAAAAAAACGCTCAAATCGGGGAATCCCAGATCGTGTTATGGAAAACTCAAAAATGCTCCAGTAACTTAAAGGAGTTATTTATTTTTTAAACGCCTTCTTTACAAATACATGCACATACAAGGAAGAGAACAGTACTGGTTCTAAATTCCTAAATAAGCAACTTTTTGAATGAACTGAAGATAAATCGAAATTTAAAAATAAGTCTTAGGAGGTGCTGGCTCCGTGGCCGAGTGGTTAAGTTGGCACTCTCTGCTTAGGCTTCCCTCGGTTTTGCTGGTTTGAATCCCGGGCGCGGACATGGCGCCGCTTGTCAGGCCATGCTGAGGCGGTGTCCCACATGCCACAACTAGAGGCACCCACAAATTTTAAAAAAAAAAAACTATGAACCGGGGGCTTCTGGGAGAAAAAGGAAAAATAAAATCTTAAAATAAAAAATAAGTCTTAGGAAACAGTGCCTGAAAATGTAGCAACTTCTTTTATTTAGGAAAGAAATTTGACCTGAAAACGACAAATTTTCAGTGTGTTAACTGGGAAATGCTTCTTTCCCTGAGATTATTCTGAACGACCTATTTGGATTGGTGGAAATAAGATGACTTAGAATCCACAACTGAAATATACAACTATGTACTGGGAGGATTTGGGGAGAAAAAAAGCAGAAAAAAAAAAAAGATTGGCAGCAGTTGTTAGCTCAGGTGCCAATCTTTTAAAAAAAAAGATAGAGTGGTTAGGAAAATCCTATCAGCTCAATGTTTGTTCTTTTGAGGTACAAATTGAGGTACCTCTTTTCAGATAAAGGAAGAAAAATCTTGTGGCTATCACAATTTTGTCCAAATCCTTATCTCTGAAGACACCATCCATAGGATGAAGTTTAATGCGGTTTTGCACAAAACTCCACACTATTCCACCATCTATGTCTTGCTGCGTTTTCCAAATGTTTCACTGTTTCTGATCCCAATGGAGTGGCTATGAAGTATGAGAAATTATGCATTCATGTCCATTTTCTAGGGGGTAAAAAGAGGGCTAATATTTTCCAAAAGTAAAATAAACATTCAGTAGTAGATAAATCGATTTTAAAAAATTGGTAATTATATCGTCTCTGACTGTTCAAAATTCTTTGAGCTGCAGAAGTTAGGGCCAGGCTTAATAGACATTGATAGAAATCATGCTTGATTTCCTTCAGAGAAAATTATTCTGGTGAACAGGATGAGTCAAAGGAAAGGAAAAAAATAACAGGATGAAAGACCAAAAAGAAAAACCATTCTTCTCAAAAGGAGACC